TAATATTCATATTATTATAGTTTTATTAAGTTGTAAATACATCTTTTATAAAATTGTGCAACACTCTCGCGAAAAATATATTTTCTGTGAGTAAGTTTACATGTCACGTCACGCCAGCATCTTTTCAATTTATATTAAGACAAAATAGTTGCCAGCTTTTGGGACTACGTGTAACATTGCTGCTATTACATTTCTGATACAGGTGCTTGACTGCCTCTGTAGTTCATGATCAATTGGATTTTTTATTGTGTAAACAAATCAGTCAAGTTTGTAACAACAGATGGATAAGCTGATAAATTTGGACAGCAGTTACCGATTAACAACTTAAGACATAGAGACAGGTAAGTGATATATAACCAAAGTGATTAGACGCCCTGTTGAGACGATGGACATTTAGAACGTTGGAGTAAATGACAGTAACTAACTTCAACATTTCCCAGTAATAATATAAAATACATCAACACCCATAACAGTCCTAGAGACAGCTTCCAGCTATATTGTATCTATCGATTTTGACATGTTTTATTATACACTCACTTTGTGGCGCTTGGCAAGTTTTAGGTTTGACAGGAAAAATGCTGGTGGATTTTAGAGAGAGATTTGATTTGTTACTTATACATTATTACAATAAGCGAAAATGTCTTCAAAGTCCACAGTTTGTTCAATAGTACCAAAGTAAGTTTGTTAAAAATCTATCAACGTTTTTCTATTATTGAATACAATATTTGCACTGTATTGCTGCAAATAATCTAGCCTGCTGCCCATGTAACTTAAGCATATCTACGTATGATCTTCATATGCCATGGTCTGTAGCCAGAAAAGCAAATAAAGTTATGTCTTATGACCTCTATTGTCACTGCTGAGCCTATCATAATGTTCAATTTCTGCCACACCAAGTGTGAATAAGCGTTATACTTCTGTTGATAAACCACACTGGCACAATTAAGCAAATACCAGTGTATATTCAACAGGCTCATTACCTTAACAGTTGGGGAAGGGAAAAAATTTGAAGTGAACTACATTGGAAAATGAGAGAAGAATTTAACAGTCAATGTTTTTTATCATAAAAAAACTCTCTGGTCGGTAAACAACAGTTGTAATTTTAGTATTTTCAAAAGGAATCCTAAACCTTCTCTTACGCAGTTATGATATATTATGACAAAAGCTATACTATATCAACTATAATTTGCTTCCTAGTGTGAATGCCTGTAATACTGGGATATTGGCTCACCTGTTCTCATAATGCTTTATATGACCGCATGGTTGCTGTTACACAATCAGTGTCCCAACTCTCGTGTATCTACTTCAATGTTTCGCCTTCGTGATCTAACGTTCTAGCATAGACATCCTCTTATACACAACATATGCGTTCTGGACATATTATCTTCTGGTTCCATAGCATGTACAGCCTTAAAATTGATTTTATTAATCTTCGAATGTTATGTCGAGTGCACTCAAACAGGACTGTTTAGCCTATCTAAGAAATGTAGCAGTCAGTGGATCTTCCAGTTAGCTGACTTTACTGTTGGTAATATCCGTTTTCTTTCTTGTTGCATATCAAGGCACCAATTCATCAGATATGGGGTTTTATTATGTTCTTTTGGCAAATAAGAGGATAGTTAGTAACAAACGATATACGGTATACAACGTTTTTTGTCACTACTATCACAAACTAATTCGACACTGACACCGCTTCAAACCCAGTGGTAGACTGGACACAATTATTTGCACACCGATAAGATAACTCCTACCGACAGGTTGGGGTGATGGTTCAAAGCGAAACGCAAAACCCTGTCTAATTAATGCTGGACGGCGACTTTGATCTTGCCTCCAACCATGCATGCAGTAGAATTAAACGGTGATTAGGACAACTTGGAAGTAAACGAGATTCCTTTGTGTTGTATTTCAAGGCACCAATACATCGGCCATGGGGTTTTGTTATGTATGTGTAGCCCAGAGTATCCACAACTAACTAGAATGGGATTGCCTAAAAGTCGGGCCAAGAAAAGTCGGGCCGGGCCGGGCCAGCGGGTAATACTAAAAATGGATTGCAGAATAATAAAACGAAACGTGCATATCTAGGCAGATCTCAATTGTCCAGAAACGTATAGTTTTGCTCATTCAATTGAGTATTAACTGATAATTATAGCTACATACCGAGAGTCCATACCGAAAAGTCAGTGTCTTGACTGTGTCTTTTCTATGATGAGAAGGTTTCTCACCGACCTTAGCGTGCAGGGGTGTGATGTCCTGGGCAGGAAATGACAGTGTTTTGACTACTCTTCTACGTGTCTGGCATCCCTAATTAACCTTAACTAATTCATGTTAAACCAGCACAGGATGTTTTCTGCAAGTGGATATTTCGCAAATGTCATAGGGCTGACACGACACGTGTTAATAACTGGCAAAGTGCTTCTAAAATTACAACACATACTTTACATCTATAGACTAGTATTATATCTACCTATGTCACGGTACATCGTATTTAATAGAAAACAAGGGGCTCAAAGTGAAGCATTTTTACTGTATTTTCTTTAGAAAATCTATGTCAGAAGTGTTTGGTCCGACTTGGCCCGGGCTGTCTAAATGAACTTAAACATCACAGATGTATCATCAAATGGATTCACATCTATAGATTAGTATTATATCTACCTAAATACCACTTTATAGTGTCTCAGATCGCTGTACTTAAAGAAAACAAGGTGCTCAAAGTGAAGCCCTATTCCCTCTACATATTCAACATAGTCTCTATCAGAAGTGTTTTGCTTGTGTTGGGTCCGACTTGGCTCCTTTTTTTTCTTTAAATACGATGTACCGTGACATTATAAAGTGGTATATAGGTAGATATATTACTATTCTATAGATGTAAACACATTTTAAAGATACATATGTGTGTTGAAAGTTGATTTTGACCGGCCGGGCCAAGTCGGACCCAACACAAGCAAAACACTTCTGATAGAGACTATATTGAATATGTAGAGGGAAAAGGGCTTCACTTTGAGCACCTTGTTTTCTTTAAGTACAGCGATCTGAGACACTCTCAAGTGGTATTTAGGTAGATATAACATTAATCTAAAGATGTGAATCCATTTGATGATACATCTGTGAGGTTTAAGATGATTTTGACAGCCCGGGCCAAGTCGGACCGAACACTTCTGACGTAGATTTACTAAAGAAAATACAGTAAAAATGCTTCACTTTGAGCCCCTTGTTTTCTTTAAGTACGATATACCTTGACATTATAAAGTGGTATATAGGTAGATATAACACTAATCTATAGATGTAAACACATTTGAAGATAGATCTGTATGTTTAAAGTTGATTTTGACCGCCCGGGCCAAGTCGGACCCAACACATGCCAAAGACTTCTGATAGAGACTATGTTGAGAATGTAGAGGGAAAAGGGCTTCACTTTGAGCACCTTGTTTTCTTTAAGTACAGCGATCTGAGACACGATAAAGTGGTATTTAGGTGGATATAATACTAATCTATAGATGTGAATCCATTTGATAATACATCTGTGATGTTTAAGTTGATTTTGACAGCCCGGGCCAAGTCGGACCGAACACTTCTGACATAGATTACATACAGTAAAAATGCTTTACTTTGAGCCCCTTGTTTTCTTTAAGTACAGCGATCTGAAACACTATAAAGTGGTATTTACGTAGATATAATACTAGTTTATAAATGTTAATCCATTTAATGATACATATTTGAGTTTAAGGTTGATTTTAACAGCCCGGGCCAAGTCGGACCGAACACTTGTGTGACTGTTGAGAGTATAGGGAGAAGAGGTCTACTTTAACCAACGTGTCTGCATTAAATAGGATGTACCGTGACATTATAAAGTGGTATTTACTGATATATAGTACGTTCCTATAATATAAACGCTATGCCGACAGATGGAAATGTGTATCACGATAGCTAGAAGTATTTGATACGTTTCAAATCTTGTTTCGTTTAACGATTGCTCTTTTACATGTTACCAAGATCAGCGACGCTTACACACAGCTCCACTTTCTGGTTTTCAAGCGATTTACTCCGAATTACTTATTTATGATGCACCTTTTTGTTTGGTGATTGTTCCTTAATGTCATGTGTGTATGTTGCATCAATTATATGTAGGTATGATCGCCGATAATGAAGTAATTAGCCAGTAACACTTTGGCCCGTCTTGGCCCGGCCCGGCCCGACTTTTAGGCAATGCCAACTAGAATGCTTCATATTGACAAAATCTATACAAGCTAGATATGTGCCCACACCAAATATACACTGGTATTTGCTTAATTGTGCCAGTGTGGTTTATCAACAGAAGTATAAAGCTTATTCACACTTGGTGTGTCAGAAATTGTACATAATGGTCAGTGTAGGCTGTGTATACATGGGATCTAGCTCTTTGTGTACAGGTAGCCAGTGTAGTTTCTGCATACATGGGATCTATCTCTTTGTGTACAGGTAGTGTAGGTTGTACATACATAGGATCTATCTCTCTGTGTACAGATAGTGTAGGTTGTACATACATGGGATCTAGCTCACCGTGTGCAGGTAGTGTAGGTTGTACATACATTGGATCTAACTCTCTGTGTACAGATAGTGTAGGTCGTACATACATGGGATCTATCTCTCTGTGTACAGATAGTGTAGGTTGTACATACATGGGATCTAGCTCACCGTGTGCAGGTAGTGTAGGTTGTACATACATTGGATCTATCTCTCTGTGTACAGATAGTGTTGGTTGTACATACATGGGATCTATCTCACTGTGTGCAGGTAGTGCAGGTTGTGTATACATGGGATCTACCTCTCTGTGTACAGGTAGTGTAGGTTGTACAAACATGGGATCTAGCTCACCGTGTGCAGGTAGTGTAGGTTGTACATACATTGGATCTAACTCTCTGTGTACAGATAGTGTTGGCTGTACATTCACTAAATCTATCCATCCATCTGTGTACAGGCAGCCGTTGTAAGTTGTACGTACATGTGATCTATTTCCCCCACAGGACAGTATACTACAAGGAGCATGAGTGCAAATCTGGATACAGATCTACCGATAGCCATGGCTGTCCCCACGGTAAAACTACCTTCATGAAATCAATGTATACTTTTAATGACAAATATATTTAAGGGAGTATTCAGTGCATTGATATAAATATGTAAGCTGAATAAGGCTTTGTTATTGATAGACATGTACTTTACTGAATTCATCACCACATCCATAGCCATCTGCGACAATGACATCAACCCAAATGGCGCCTGCAACATCAACTACAGAACGTCCCACATCATCTACAGCAACGGCGTAGCCAAACACAGTAGCGGGGGCACCTGCAGCCTCCCTGAGATATGCACCAACTGCAACATGGGCTTCTATGCCAGCCCAAACAGATGCCGGAGTGAGTGATTAACTGTGTATTTATCTAATATCCACACATATTCCTCAGTGACCGAGCGCTCACATATCACATACAGTCAACTTGTATGACCACGATAGTGTAATGATCTGTAGAATTACAATTTGTTAATTTACCTAAAGAGAGGCTTGGTAAATTGGCATCTCTGACTGGTTCATGCAAATAAATCATTAATTGGATGCTGACTTGTTTTAATAGTTATGATACATATATCACAAATGGGTATCTTAATTACGTTGACAAAGTCTGAAATACCTTCTGGTCACTTGGTTACCTGCAGATCCCAGGTTGGTAGTGTCTGTATGCCCTGTTTTCTACGGACAGTGTGCTCGGCCATCCCTTACTGTGACCTGGAGGAATGTACGTCGCTCACTGACCAGGTGTGTTCGCGGTGTGAAGGGGTGCACAGGGATCGGCCTGGGGAACGAGCGTACGCCATCACCACAGACAAGAAATCCTGTATACGTAAGTATCGGGAATTGTGGACCCCATTCACCATTTTGGTATAGTTATTATTCAATACTGGCTTCCACAGTACATACACACAGAAGAATGTTGCATACCTCCATTTGGACGAGGTATTACCAATGCCTTCCTTGCCCACAGGATCTCAATAATTGATGACAATAAGAACCTATTTAAAAATCAAATGTAGAAATTGTTGTAACAGTTGTTCATATGAATGAGAAAAAGACTTTGTTCATTTTGAACATTTGCATGTTTGGAATTTTACGACATTTATTGTTTCAAACAGGCAGGTTTTAGAGGTTTTTCAGAAGTGTGTTTGAACAACTTGTGCTGGTGGATGGGGGTATAAACAGAAATAGCACAAAGTATCGAAAAGAGAGTAAAGTACTTGATATTGCCCTGAAACAGTTGGTTAAATCAAAAACAGGTCCGTGTGTGTATTAACAACTTTGGGCTGAAGACATGTCCAGTTCTCTTTTGTTCTATATTCCAAAGCTCCATAGCATTCAGTACAACGAGAAATATAAATCTCATCAAACGTATCTCACCACAAAAATTTGTTGATAATCAGAAAAGAAAACTGTAAAGAGAAGCTTGAAAGCAAATCAAAAGTGTTACTTAACGTCACATAATCTGTGAGGAAATATAAAAGGAAAAATGAGCATTTGCAAAGAAAAGAAACAACATTATTCGCCAGCGACTACAAGGACTGTAACTGGGTAAATATGGGTACTGGCAGGAATGAGATAGACAGATCAACACGTTCATGTCTAAGTAATGTGTACCCATGACGCAGTTAGATGATCAATAGTGTAAGCCAATATCTGGTGTATCCACCCGGTGCACGGATCACATCCACACGACGCCTCCTCATGCTCAAAATCAGAGGCTGATCCTCAACTGAGGTATGTGTTGCCATTCCTGATGCAATGTCCGGGTCACTTCTCGGAGATTCTGCACTGGAGGGTGCACCAGGGCATCGTTGTCCATAGAGATAGGACTAGTTGCAAACGCATGGTTATCAAAATGAGGCACAACAAAGCCGTCCAATGCGGTATCTTGGTACCTTTGTCCCCTAAACAGTCAAAACATCAAATATACAACCAAAGAAGCAGCATGCCCATACCATCCCCGATCCTGAGGCCACTGTTTGCTGGATGTTTTGCTGATGATAAGATGTTCCTCTTTGCCTCCACACAAGTCCTACCATCAGCGTGGTGAAATTAACACCTTCTGTCGTAAGACCAATGAATCCCCTTCCATGACCTCAACTTCCAGTATGCTCGATTCTGACACCAGGCTACTATACCTAGCATATAATGGAGTGAGACAAGGTAGACACAATTTTATGGATAAAAACTTCTTAAATACTGTATTAAAGATGTTGTTAATTTTAAATTTGTGTCTAAATGTATCATCCGTCAACTTCTAAGTAATGCCTATCAAACAATTCAATGGGGTGAGAGCAGGGGACGCCTTATTGGTGTTGTGGACCTTAATCCTGCTGCATTCAGTCGACGCCTGGTGGTGCTTAGGGATTCTCTATTGTGGGTATGTTAGTGATGATGAAGAACAGTGCAAGATTTCCCCGGCCTACAAGGACCGTGTCCTCTCTGGCACAGGTCTTCCATGGACGTCCTGATCTCACATGTCCAGTCAAAGTGTGTTTTCTAATTAGTCTACAGATTACAGCGTGATTAAAGTTCGACACAGCAACAATATCCCGACATGTCATGCCAGTTTTGTGTATGCCAGTGATTTGCAATCTTTGATTTTCTGGGATAGTATGCTTTGGTATTTCAGTTACACTCGTAACAGACTTTCAAATTGGTAGAACTTTCATTCAAAGTTAATAACAATTAGGAATAATAGTAATAGCATGAACTTTCCGTCATCAAACATTAATTTCTCTATTTTGACCCCTAAGTTGTGCATACGGTTCGCATAAACGCACCCACAAGGTGGGGCAGTAACGGTGTTTACCATTCTACAAGCAGATGATGTGACAACACACAGGGTACAATTTGAAAATCTGTACATTGAAAATAAACTCCAATACTTCCAAATTGGTGATGCAATAATTTTGATGAGGTGAATATATTGCAGGGCTCAGGAAAAGTCCCACCAATGACGGTTCCTATCTCAGAGATTAACCATAATCCTTCATACAATACAGGAAGAACTTCTTTATATTCACAGTTAATATAGTATTAGAGAGAGGACCTAGTGATGAAGGGGATTCACAAAAGTCAAAGCTTTAGCGTGAATCTGTGCAATTCTCTAAGAAGGTTTCAATTTCAACTTCATACCACGCTAGTCCACTTGTCTCAAATACTTTCTGTGTATATAAAGAGAGTCCTCCCTCGATTGTATTAAGACTTATTGTTCATCGTTGAGACAGGGATTTCGTGGTACATTGGCTGGATCAATAAACAAATGTTCACGGAATAGGTGTAATCGTCGGGCTCTTACGATTACAAAAGTGCTTTGTTACCTTTATCAAACGTTTAACGATGATCGTGTATTTGAGCCATTTTGATTGGTATTGGACATGTAGGTAAAAAGTAATCTTGGGCCAGGGACTCGAAATTCGAAAAATGAGCCCTCTCACTCACTTTAGCCATACCTACTTTTCCCCTTATGTCAGAATGAAAGTATTGCAAATTTAAGGAAGAAGAAAGGCCAAATGCCACGTAATCGAAAGTGCCTGATTTATTTAGAAACCAACATTACAAAATGTTTTTTAATACCTTTAAATTTGATTTAATACCTAGTCCTAATTTTTTTACATAATAACCCGATAAACGTTTTACAGTTTCTACCTTAACTGACTGGTGCGGATATATTTTATGACAAAAGTAGTGAGGTTCCAGGGTAAAAGTTATTTGGCGATTTTGAAAATTTAATTAAATGTATAATCTATTTTAGTAATGGTGCCTGTAGTTATATACAATGCGACCTAGTTCGCCTGTATCACTGACACGAGTATGCTGTGTGTTTTTCAGAGGCATGTTCGTGGCGCAGTGACAATACACGGTGCTACCCAGGAGAATGTGCAGAGGAATATGCAAGGAATTGTATCTGTACAACAGAGTTTAGCGGCAGTCACTGCGAGAAAAGTAGGAACGAAATACACATATAAAACCAATGTTACACTTTACATCCGAGAGGAACATATTGGCACAAACTTTAATTATAAAGTATTACAATATTTTCCAATCACTGGTTTTCTTGTTTTCCTGAAACCATTAAAATGTGTCCATAACGGCCTGCACACAGTGAGGTGAACAGTTTCCACTCAACCATATCTCTGTCCCTGCTGCCTGGGTCAGAGTAGGACGCCAGTACCCCATTTGTGTCCTGGAGACGATCAGAGATCATTTTGGTGACTTGGTTGATTGCAGGTACTCGTACCACAGTGGTGTGAATAGTTGATGATGTTACTAATTTACGTGTTTGCCTGGTCCAGACTGGAACATGTCAAAGGCCGTTGATATATCTATTTTTGCCTGCTGTTAAAACAACATTCACTTATCCACTCTTATCTACAAAAACCTTTGGAATTGGCTGCAGAGTGTGATCCGGTTCAACATTGTTTTGTTTCTGAAATTACGTCAGCACCTCCAACGCTCCTACCTGTAGCTCAGCACAGATTTGCTTTTGCTTGTGAGAGGCTTTTTAGGGCTTGTGGTATTCGTAAAGGGTTTAAAATAAAGATAAGGTTGCGAATGGGTGTAAAGAAAGGTCAGAGAATAACCAATTTCTATTATCCGTGGATATAGATTCCTTGAGGTATTTTTCCAACTGTGTCTTGCCGTCATCGGGAAACTGATAATTTTGGCGGTTACTGACCATGTCATCTGACACATCCGCCTTCCACCTGACACATTTGTTATGATTCGTTACAGTCTGACAGTTGCAGTTTTTCTAGCCACTGGCCTTGATTGACAGATCCTATCAACTTTGTTTGATGCTACTCTTCGTTCATTGGCTACTGACTTGGTGGGCAAAAGAATTCGATGCATGATACACTAGATCATCGAGGATGTATTCATCACTCACCTTGTATTTCCAGTCGACACGTTCCCGTCTATTTTGTACAACACACTGAAGGTGACCAGCCCGCGCCTGGACAAGGTGGAAGCCCCAGACAACCCCAATGAAGGAGCTCCCCAAGACAAGTCCTGGTCGAACATCAACGACACCAGGATGATCTACTACAAATTTGAGACCAAGTTCATCATGACTGCGACTCTACCAGCCAGACAGGCCTATGTTGAGGGATTTGCTGTTGGCATAATCAACGCCAAAGCAACATTTGAAGTTAGAAGAAGTATGAACTCTGTTTTCTTTCAAAGTGTATTCATTTATGATCATTGATTAATATTAAGCCGGATGACATTGCTATTGTGACCTTATCACATGATCACGTGTTTGTTCTTATGAGCAGTTGACTTGCCTTTGCATGTGTTTTCTACTGGTGTCACCGATAGGACCGGATACGCTCACTTTTTCCCAAGCACCTGGTATCATCATCATTTGAGAGTGATTTAAAAACACGTTCTAATGATACAGACGGAATTGTACTATTGGCTCATATGCTTCTTATGGTTATTTGAAGGGTTTTGTGGCTTTCATTGATATCATAAGTTATCCATTGTTAGTTGCTATTTGCTAAATATGTTCACTTTGGTTTTATTCACCTTTGGTCCTTTCAAAAACTATGTTTTAAGTTGTAAGTATGTTCCAGACGACTATATCATAATGAGCACTGTACGACCTTGCCATGGCCCCAGTAAGACGGCACCTCATCAAACTAAGTTGACCTGTGAGGAGAACATGACTGCGGATAGCTTTCTCTCCTTACCAGTGGAGCATGGAGATATGTGAGTCACATGGCATGAGAGGCCTTATTGTTACAATAATCAATCTAAACTTATCGAATACCCATTGAGTAAATTTGCAATGACAAATATAATAGCCGGTACATATTATGCTAGCTAACTGAACTTCTCTGATTATCCGTTTTTTCCTCAGAATGGAATTCACATTTGAGGCAACTAATGGTGGCTACGTTACAGTGGGGAACAAGGAGAGCAGGAGTCTCGTGACGTACTACTACGAAGGGAAGACACAAATCAATCATTATATCCTCGGGTTTGACTTCATAGATCCACATCACTGCAGTGTAGATCTGGAGGAGAACTGCAAAGATGACATGATATCGCTGGCCAAGACCCCCACACAGGTCATTTTAGAACTTGTGAAGAACAATTATTATGCTGACCAATGAGTCTAATTTCTGAATCAGTGTACATGTAAACCAAATACGGAAACATGATAGATAATAGTTGCATTATTGTTATTATTCTAGTATTGTAAGACTTTAGAAACATATATATATGTAGCTTGACAGTATTATAGATATCTATTGTAGGAATGACCTCATACAAACCTTCTGTGATGTCATGGACTATTGCTGAAGAGTGTAGTTATTATCTAGTCTGTCTAGTATGGCGCAACATGGTTATACATGCATGTGCTCTTGGTCTCCAGGCTAATGGACACAATGAATGCAGGAGTAAAACCTGCACTGTGCTGGATGCTACTTGACTGGCCAGTAATCGGCCTGATAGTTACATGATGTTCACATGTGAGTGATGTCCATGTGTTGATGAGTGTCATATGCACATGTAATGTATCCGTTTGTCTCCAGGTTCCTTTCAATGTCACGTGGCAGGGATGGAGGGACGACGTCCTGGTGTTCTCCTACTTGGTGTCGATATTTGAACTTTCTGACAAACATCCCAACAGAAGTGACTCTCAACTCGTGGAGAAATCACTAGCCTTTAAATCTGCCAGATACAGCGGCGAGGTATGCTATTGTGACAGATAATATGCCTTAGCTCACTCACAGAATTGCGTCCCTAAGAAGTGTCAAGATCATTGAAGGTCTGGTTGGTAGCGCAGATTCGAATAGAATTTGATCCTTGGTCTCGACACCTCATCCGGGCTTGTGGGATTCAAGACCCGTTCCCATCAGCTTTGCTCCTACATTTAGCTGGCAAGCTGTGATATCTGGTCATGGTCGGATTGACGCCAGCTTACTCAGTTCGCTTAATCATGTTACACACATAACAAAATTACACACATGCATGAAAAAGTTAATATATTATGATCATTATGTGTGATTGTTTTGGTCAAGCCAGTACATTTGTGTCATCTGATCTTTCAAATCTAAATAATACGTCATTCATCCTTGGTTTGCAGACATCTTCGAGCCAGTTTCATCTGTCACAACCCGGGGTGTATGCGCTTGTTTTAACAGTTTACGACAAAGCCGAAAACAGCAAGAGTGCTCGGCGAATATTCATCTATGATGAGGTGTCAAAAGTGGGCGTGATACATGACACGAGGCTGCTAGTGACGTCATCGGCTTCTAAGACAACCCACCGATGGCAGTGGAATACGACGGACGTGTCTGTCGACTGGGAGAAGAGGTAAGGAAGCATGCATCCACCAACTCGTGCCATCTGCATCACTGTAGTGTTTCTCTTGGTGACTTTGTTCAAATTGGGACTCCGCGAATCATGTCAGACAATAAATACCACCACCCTCGCTCTTCCCTCAATCGCTTATATTTACCAATCATAATGGGAGGGCGTGGTGTGATTAACGTGGGGGCTCTACATAATAGAATTGTATTGTGCAATTTTGCACATATTTATTTGTCTGATGATCCTCTTGTGAAGCATGTCAAGACTCATGAAGAAAACAAAGCATTCCACAGTTTTCTTAAAACGAGCCAAGGACATAATCTCAATGTCGGTGTTGATTTTGTTGCTGTTCCTGTACTGCTGGACGGTACAGAAATGAGTGTCAACTAAGCGAAGTGCCATAGCAAATCGGCCAGTTTTTCAAGGAAAGGCTTTCTGACCGACGTCTGTACAGTGTGTTGCGAAGAGAAGCAATCCTGTAGAGTCCTTCGCTTGGATGAAATCGGCTGGAAAGATTCAGGAAAAACATGGCACATATGCGGACCTCGCTTACGAAATATTCCGCATGCATCCCAAGTGCCAAGTTGTCCGACTCCCCATTGTTCTCAGTGCTCCCAGTCTGTTGTCTGACATTGGGAGAGTACCCTTGTTTGCTGCCAGTAATACAACCCTTCTGACAATCTGGGTAATGCAAAAGGCTGCAGTGTTGAGGAGTCTTCACATTCTCTGAAAAGTTCTAGGTGGATTCGACCGGGCAGCCATTCCTGGGAGAAGTCCCATTCGCTGTCTGGGCTGTGTGTGGAGGGGGCAAGGGTCCTGATGATGGGCCCAACCATCCTCCTGACTGTGCCAGCCACACACACACACACACACACACACACACACACACACACACACTCCCCCTTTACCCCTCTTTGCTGCTTTTATTTATTTTTAACTGTATATATAATGATATCTTTCGTATTTATAACAATAATATATTTTGTCACTTAATCAAGCACGATGTAAATATACTTGTGACACACAAATGTATAACACTATAACATCCCTATACACTCTACAGGTACATCAACACCCTCCATTCCAACAACGGGTGGCTGAAACAAGCAGCCTCCTTGCATGACGTTACCCAGGACTACGACGATAACAACCACTTCAGGGGAAAAGATGCCATTGATCACGTGCAGGGTGAGGAAGTCCTTGTGTTTATAGAGTTTTATTTCCAAAATACCTGCCTATTGTGGAAGAACTTGAAGCATATACCGGGGAGACAATCAGTGGTTGACAGCGTGAACAATGACATGCTGTCAGAGGACAATCAGTGGTTGATAGTGTGAGCAATGACCTATGCTGTCGGGGAGTCAATCAGTGGTTGACAGCGTGAACAATGACATGCCGTCAGAGGACAATCAGTGGTTGATAGTGTGAGCAATGACCTGTGCTGCCGGGGATACAATCAGTGGTTGATAGCGTGAGCAATGACCTGTGCTGTCGGGGAGACAATGAGTGGTTGATAGCGTGAGCTATGACCTATACCGTCGGGGAGACAATCAGTGGTTGATACCGTGAGCAATGACCTATGCTGTCAGGTGACAGACAGTGGTTGATAGTGTGAGCAATAACATGCCGTCAGGTGACAGTCAGTGGTTGATAGTGTGAGCAATAACATGCCGTCAGGTGACAATCAGTGGTTGATAGTGTGAGCAATAACATGCCGTCAGCTGACAGTCAGTGGTTGATGGTGTGGGCAATAACATGCCGTCATGTGACAGTCAGTGGTTGATAGTGTGAGCAATAACATGCCGTCAGGTGACAATCAGTGGTTGATAGTGTGAGCAATAACATGCCGTCAGGTGACAATCAGTGGTTGATAGTGTGAGCAATGACCTGTGCTGTCGGGGGGACAATCAGTGGTTGATAGTGTGAGCAATGACCTGTGCTGCCGGGGATACAATCAGTGGTTGATAGCGTGAGCAATGACCTGTGCTGTCGGGGAGACAATCAGTGGTTGATAGCGTGAGCTTTGACCTATACCGTCGGGGAGACAATAAGTGGTTGATACAGGAGCAATGACCTATGCCGTCAGGTGACAATCAGTGGTTGATAGCGTGAGCAATAACATGCCGTCAGGTGACAATCAGTGGTTGATAGCGTGAGCAATAACATGCCGTCAGGTGACACTCAGTGGTTGATAGTGTGAGCAATTACATGCCGTCAGGTGACAGTCAGTGGTTGATAGTGTGAGCAATAACATGCCGTCAGAGGACAATCAGTGGTTGATGGTGTGAGTAATAACATGCCGTCAGGTGACAATCAGTGGTTGATAGTGTGAGCAATAACATGCCGTCAGGTGACAATCAGTGGTTGATAGTGTGGGCAATCACATGCCGTCAGGTGACAATCAGTGGTTGATAGTGTGAGCAATCACATGCCGTCAGGTGACAATCAGTGGTTGATAGTGTGAGCAATAACATGCCGTCAGGTGACAATCAGTGGTTGATAGTGTGAGCAATAACATGCCGTCAGGTGACAGTCAGTGGTTGATGGTGTGGGCAATAACATGCCGTCAGATGACAATCAGTGGTTGATGGTGTGAGTAATAACATGCCGTCAGGTGACAATCAGTGGTTGATAGTGTGAGCAATAACATGCCGTCAGGTGACAATCAGTGGTTGATAGTGTGGGCAATCACATGCCGTCAGGTGACAATCAGTGGTTGATAGTGTGAGCAATCACATGCCGTCAGGTGACAATCAGTGGTTGATAGTGTGAGCAATAACAAATGCCATCGTGCAGTCAATCTGTGATTGACAATCTGTAGAATTCAGTATTCAATGTATGTGGTCAACAAATTGACATATAATGTAACCAGGCCCCAGTTACTCCCTCCTCAAGTTTCGTCCATGTTGTAAGTATCTGTGGGTGTATTAAATTAAACAAGATTCCATTTAACCATTTCTTCTTAGTGTCCTTAAATGTAGCATAAAGTTGTGATAAGCTGTAGCTCCTTCTATCCTCAATCCTGCTCCACCATCTGGGCTAAATTGTAGATGTTAATCTGCTATCCTTACACCAGGATCTTTTATTTACGATCGCAAGAAGTTAAATGTCTTTTATGTCAAATTGTTTTGAGTTTTATCCATCAAATGTCATTTAACTGAATAAGCAATCACCCCTGCTTCAATACACATGATTATGTCACAACTGGTGTCTTGTATCATTGTTCTGTTTATAATAGGTTTCTGTCACAAACCGCCTCCCCACATTTATATAACGCGTCAGTGAGAGTCATGGCTTCCATATTCCAGGCATAGTTGAATACCGCACCGCCTTCCTGATTGACCACAGTGGCGGCAGCAGCATCCTCTCTCCCCCTCCTGACGCCGACTTCCAGAGCCAGGGTCTGACGCAGCACCAGACAGTCACACCGGTCCTCGTGGACGGAGACACCGTCAGGTTCTGGGTCAGGGCGTACGACATCAGGCGCGAACTCCTTGAGGAGAGCGTGACAGTCCACGTGGACACATCGCCTCCAGTCATCGAGAACCTGTGGCTCACCAGGGGAGACAGACTCAACATCAGTGTTCATAGAGTGGAGGAATTCAATGAAACGACGTAAGTTTCTCTTTCTGTGTTAAGTAAGTAAACAGTACCTTCAACGCAAAACAATGGCAACGGGTGACCCATTTGTCTCATCCGACGCAATTTACGACTCAAAGTTGCGTCCCTCCGGCGTTCGTGAAACTTATGATCATGGGTTCAAATCCAACTGTTCATTAATTATGTTTCTAGGTTTGTCAGTTCCATGCCCGTGCTCACAGGATTCACAACACTCCGTGAGGCTGAAACGCCGTGAAAATAACTAAAATACTGTTCAAAGGCGCGTTAAACCAAACTCACTCACTCGTTCAACAAAGTACCATGTCTTGCATTAAAGATTTGAGTGGCTGGCGTTTGATGACCACAGTGGTCTACAGACTGTGTCGTGGAGACTCTACGACAACATCACCGGCTCAGACATCTACCACGGAGAAGAACATCTATCAGCTCAAGGAGACACGCAAGTACATACTTTCCTCTGTCATTGGTTGCTTTGTTAATGTTTTCTTCGTCTTAGGGAGGTACAATCTTGCCGTTGTATTGCAAACAGGGCACGAATACCTAAGTATTTATTCAGTTGTGTTTAATTACCCCCAGACACTGGCTAACTGCACAGCGAGGTACGGCGACTATGCACGGGACGCCAACTGCTACTGTACGCCAGGGACAGGGTGTTACCACAGACACTTCCAGATCAAACCACGCATAATCTCATCTAATCTCAGGCATGGTGGCGTGTTCCACGACATGCACAAGGGCGTTCACGACTCCGACTACTTCATCGAGATTACAGTAATGAACCACGCCAAACTAAACACGTCGCTTGCAATCAAGGTGAGGATAATTTTTGTCTATATATTTTTTAAAGCATGAGCGAACAATTTGTGCATGCGCCTGATTGAACTAGTGTTCGACAGTGTTCCATTTTTTATCGATCTTGAATCTTAATGTAACGACGATGCTACTAAACATACATGTAACGTTAATTAAACACACATTACACATTCCATGATGTTACTGCTTCTCTGGGTGACACATGCCTAGATGTTACTGCCTCTCTAGGTGACACATTCCATGATGTTACTGCCTCTCTAGGTGATGCATTTTTAGGATGTTACTTCCCTTATAGGTGACACATTCCATGATGTTACTGCCCCTCTAGGTGACACATTCTATGGTGTTACTGCAGCTCTAGGTGACACATTCCATGATGTTACTGCCTCTCTAGGTGATGCATTTTTAGGATGTTACTTCCCTTTTAGATGACACATTCCATGATGTTACTGCCCCTCTACGTGATATATTCTATGAAGTTAGTGCCCCACTAGGAGACACATTCTATGATGTTACTGCCCCTCTAGGTGACACATTCTATGATGTTACTGCCCCTCTAGGTGACACATTCTATGATGTTACTGCCCCTCTAGGTGACACATTCTATCATGTTACTGTCCCTCGAGATGACACATTCTATGATGTTACTGCCCCTCTAGGTGACACATTCTATGATGTTACTGCCCCTCTAGGTGACACATTCTATGATGTTACTGCCCCTCAAGGTGACACATTCTATGCTGTTACTGCCCCTCTAGGTGACACATCCAATGGTGTTTCTGCCCCTCTAGGTGACACATCCTATCATGTTACTGTCCCTCTAGGTGACACATTCTATCATGTTACTGCCCCTCCAGGTGACACATCCTACGATGTTACTGCCCCTCTAGGTGATATATTCTATGATGTTACTCTCCCTCACGGTGAAACATTCTATCCTGTTACTGCCCCTCAAGGTGACACATTCTATGATGTTACTGCCCCTCAAGGTGACACATTCTATGATGTTACTGCCCCTCTTGGTGACACATTCTATGATGTTACTGTCCCTCTTGGTGACACATTCTATGATGTTACTGTCCCTCTAGGTGACACATTCTATCATGTTCCTGCCCCTCAAGATGACACATTCTATCATGTTACTGCCCCTCTAGGTGACACATTCTATGATGTTACTGCCCCTCTAGATGACACATCCTATCATGTTACTGTCCCTCTAGGTGACACATTCCATGATGTTACTGCCCCTCTAGGTGACACATTCCATGATGTTACTGTCCCTCTAGGTGACACATCCTATCATGTTACTGTCCCTCTAGGTGACACATTCTATGATGTTACTGCCCCTCTTGGTGACACATCAAATGGTGTTTCTGCCCCTCTAGGTGACACATTCTATCATGTTTCTGCCCCTCTAGGTGACACATTCTATCATGTTACTGCCCCTCCAGGTGACACATCCTACGATGTTACTGCCCCTCAAGGTGACACATTCTATGATGTTTCTGCCCCTCTAGGTGACACATTCTATCATGTTACTGTCCCTCCAGATGACACATTCTATCATGTTACTGCCCCTCTAGGTGACACATTCCATGATGTTACTGCCCCTCAAGGTGACACATTCTGTCATGTTACTGCCCCTCTAGGTGTCACATTCTATCATGTTACTGTCCCTCTAGGTGACACATTCTATGATGTTACTGCCCCTGTAGTTGACACATTGTATTATGTTACTGTCCCTCTAGGTGACACATTCTATCATGTTACTGCCCCACTAGGTGACACATTCTATCATGTTACTTACTTACTTACTTACTTTGGAGATTTAACGTGCGCTTTCCGACTGATGCATATATCATGTTACTGCCCCACTAGGTGACATATTCTATAATGCCTCTGTCCCTCTAGGTGACAGTAGACGCGAGTGCACCGCACCCTGGAGTTGTCCACGATGGTCAGTCTGGGCACCCAGAAGTGGACTACCAGGACAGTCTGCAGATCCACGCCCACTGGGACGGCTTCTTTGACCGGGAGAGTGGGGTCAAGTTCTACCAGTATCAGTTCTCTGACAAGTGTCTACAAAAGGAGCATTTCGGTTTGGTTACGAGTATATTAAATGTACGTGTGTGACTTCCTTCGAGTGAGGGTTTATCCACTTTTCGTGCAGTGTGCATATAACTTACGTGTGTCTCAAAACATTACCATTACAGGTGACGGAAACCTACTCGACACATGCAGCTTGGTCGGCACCTTCCCCAGGGACGTATCACGTGACAGTGGTGGCCTACAACCGGGCCCTGGAGGCATCTGACCCTGTGTGTTCTGACGGAGTGACCCTTGATGACACACCACCAGCAGTGGGACAGATTGCTGTAGCCGCGTCTAGCATTGCCCCGGGTCTGGTCACCACCTCATCAGGAACGGTCTGGTTCATAGACAATCGACGCAGGAGAAGCAGAATTACTGAACCAGATACCCAATGCAGGTACGAACCATCAGGATATTAAGATGTGTTTAAATTATAACAATACAATTCTTGTTGCCTCTACATTATGAAAAATAACTTTAAAGATAATGTTTGACGTCTTTGTTTACGAAGGTTCCTATACGCCTTGGTGCACAAACGTCACGGAGAGCGCATTGACATAATGGATATCCCTCTGGTATTATATAACGGGTCCCATCATGTTTTTAGTTTGATCTCATGTTTCACAATCAACTGCCATCTTTCCATGCAGTATAATGCTCTAACTGTGTGGACAATGTGCTGTCCTTGTCATGCCGCAGGCATTATTAATGTCACTTATCCGAGTTTGCCTTATTGATCTTCAAATTTTTATTGTGAATACAAATTCAGCTGGATGTTTGACGTATGGCTGTGTCTATTGAGTATGAGAAAATGGATCTCATGAGTGATCTCGCCACCGACTGTAATGGATTTATCTATAAATATTCCTATGTCACCAATTTTTAAATGCAACTTTTATGGTGTTTTTTTTACCCTTAAGCCCTTTAAGCTGGAGGTCCCACTCCGTGTTCATGGTGTACTCGGACGAATCTTTCAGATCCAAAGGAACAGCAATCAATGCAGCAGAGTTAGAGAAGTTCCCCATTCACGTGATGAGGAATGGAACGATGTTGGCACGAAATGAAACATTTTGCATACAGTCTGAAGCGTTGTCAAGTTTCCACCAGATATACATTTCTACACAGCACCACGTATGAGAATTATTTACAGAAGCTTACATAACAGACGATCATGTCTAAACTTGGTGATAATTGCTGAAGCGTTTCATTGTGTATGTTGTGAGTCTCGTGGGACAAAGATTTTCAGTTTTTCACCACTTCTACACCCTATTCCCACCTTTGATAGTAGTGAGAATGTACACTCTTAATAAATCGACAAATTTTTAAAAATGCAGTTTAAAGATCATCATAACTTGGTAGATTAAGACTCATGTATAAAAAGATCAAGATTCTTCGTGCGGCTTCTGTTAATGATATATTGATCTTGCCAGCTGTTTGTAAACTGGACCGGAACTGACGCGGAGAGCGGTATCCATGACTACGAGGTGGGGCTGATGTCAGATCCTTCTGGTGAAGCAGCTCCAGACATCCTGCCGTACACGTCCACTCATCATCATCCCCAGTATCAAGGCTACCACCCTCGTCTCAGTGAGGGGCAACAGTTCTACATAGCCATCAAGGCCATCAACAAAGCTGGGCTTACAACCATTCAGGTAAACTGATATTAACAATGTTACCTCCTGATTCTTCGTGGATGAGTGAACTGTATCATTCAATAGCAGTCAGTATCGAGTCTAGACGAGGAAATCCGGTGACTGATAGCATGAAAAATTGCCCATACCATGATGGTTCTGTGATAATCAATCAGCCAGACTCCCGATCCTGACAATTTTGAAAAACAACCTTTTATGAATCGGAAATACCATGGGATTCCTCTGTGAATATTTATATTCTGAGACTCTAAGTTATCTGGCCCTCCATCTGTTTGAGTACATGTGATGATACATAAACTATTGAACTACATGGCCCGTTTTCCTCAACCTCCATGAACAACGCCCCTCATGTCGCCGCCATGTTTACTTGTTTCCTCAGGTCCTGGGGCGTCTCCTCGTGCACACCCAGAAGCCTGTCTTTAACGGGGGAGTCACTGCTGCCCTGACGTCCAGTCTGAGTCATCTCCTAGTGACGTGGAACAACTCACATGTCACGGACCCTGATGCTGCTCACCTCAAGTATGAAGCTGCAGTCGGTAAGAAGTGGCGGTCTTGTCTTCATTTTAATTAATCTCATAAATGCTTCGAATAGTCTTAAATATATTTATTACGTATCTGACCCCTGAGGGTCATGTTTGTGTATCTTATCTTTGTTTGTTACTTTGTTGTTTAACGTCACACTCATCACCAACCAAGTTATATGTTTGAACCAGAATTTACAGTGACTGATATTATGCCTTCGGGGTACGATGACTCGTAATCAACTAAGTCACAGAGCCTGACTACCCTATTCATTCGCCTCTTACTACCAGCTTAGGTATACTGGAAGTAAATTCTTACCTGGAAGTCCCACTTATACATTTGACCTACTCTTCTGTGTACAGGTACCTCGCCGTATGGGACTGAGATCCTGCCCTTCATTGCCCTGCAGTCAGGAGCAGGGTGCACAGTGACGTCTCCGCCCACGTGTACAGCAGTAGCTCTCCGGGACCTCCACTGGGACCTCCATCACAGCCACACCTACTATGTGTCAGTCAGGGTCACCAACACAGTAGGGCTGTCCACGGTGGCGGTAGCAGAACCTTACGTCCATGACGTCACGCTGCCCTCACCTGGTGTCGTCATGGATGTTTGCCCCGAAAGTGAAGAAGAATTATTTCAGATAACGGTCAGGAAACGTAATTTCTTTACAGATAGTATGTCAAAGCAGAATAAGTGCGTTAAACGATTGATCACCATCTCACTGTTAATGATGAACTCATTCATTGAGCATAAGAAATTTAATTTGCATTTGTGAGTCGGAATCACACAATCGACTCTGCTTGTAGCAGATTTCTTGTGGCCGTGGAAAGCATTTTGCTGCTTTTCTTTGGTGAGTTCTTCGCCTTTAGCAATATTCCTCTAATATCACGACAGGGAACACCATTGTATTCATATGGGGAATCGTACCCGGACCTTCGAAGTGACGAGGGAATGCTTTCACAATTAGGCTACCCAACCCCTCATTAATTTGCACCATGGCTGTGACTGTGTCCTCAAACATTGCAGGAACTGCAGGACTCCGACTACCAACTGTCTACACGAGTGCTGAAGGCGAGGTGGTATGGGTTTGATGACGACATGTTGAACGTGACCTACAGGGCTGGGATTGGCACAAGGCCCGGGGTAGTTGACGTGAGAGGCTATGAAGACACAGGGCACTTGCTACAGCATCAGTTCACGAATCTACTGCTGAACACGTCACAGGTGACATTTGCATTAGTACATGAATCGGAAGTGTTGTGGAGTGTTTTACTTACTCATCTGTTTAATAGTGAATTGTGTCTGTAAAAGCAGTATAGACAGATAACGGAACAACTTACATATATCAATCAAAATCCTGATCAATATTACAGTCACCTGTTCCTTCAATGAAATCCATGGTTGACCAGTACATTCAGTGGTTAAATAGAGCGATGTAACTGTCTGCTTTTTCTGCTGCATACAACACTCAGACATATTGTTACGTGTCGATTTCCGAATTGAAACAAGATGTTCACCCGGAAATCGGTAACAAAAACAATCTAGTGTGATAACAACAAACAACTAACAAGAGGTATCAACAAATTTAATACAAAAATTAACTAGTTTTACAAATCCTTACAAATTACTGCGCAGCAATTACAATGGCAGTACACAATAAAATGGTAGTACAATATTCAATGGCAATATATGATATGATGGCAGTGGTCAGTATCAAATACAAAAATACAGTGGTGATAGCAAAAGTCGGTGATAATACTATATATTCACCCATCGACGACAGTGGTCAAGCTTCCGAGATGGGCTAGGCAGAGATGATGAGCGATCATCAAATGAAAGCTGGTTCCGATGTGATCAAATGTGTGAGAACGTAAATACGCTTATATACCACCCACCCAGCCATTGGAAAGTTACACACAGTGCCGTCACACTAACACCGTCCGCGGTATACCGAACCGGAGGTTTACACACCACACCAGCATCTAGATATAGTAACTTCCTGACGACTGATCACTGTCCAAGCACAATGCAATGAGCGTCCAATGTACTGTACAGTGTACACATGTTTTATGATGCGTTGATGCATCCTATTGATAGTTCATTGATGCATTCATTGTATCAATAAACCATTAGTTAACGTTATACTTATGCTAATCATGATAATAGCAACAATGACATAATTTCCACATATGCATAACTACTACATTGTCTGAATGTCTTCTTGCAGAAATATTACACAACTGTTGTGGCCAAGACGGCTGGTGGCGAGGTGACCCAGTCTTCTGATGGGGTTTACATTATCATCAACAACGCAGACATCTCTAATATGACGATAAATGATGGTCGCGGATGTGATTCCATTCAAGGTATTGTCTAAGAGAAGTTCAAGATGAACGTTTAACTATCTTGTTACGGAGTGATTTGCAAACTGAAATGCGTACAGAATACAATTGTAAAGTCAGTCAATAACCACACAAGATAAACGAATAACAGAAAAAAAACATATATTGAGACACACAGTTTTAGGCTTAAAATCACAAATGACAACATAATGGATTAAATAAGTGGCAGCATCATTACGGAACAGGTCTTCATAACAAATATACACTCACGAAGTTCAGAATTTGTCACAGTCGAATATCTTGAACGAAGCACGTGCTCTGTCTCTTGATTCCGGAATAGTGTCGGAAGCTCGGAGAAAGTCGGTGTTTACCGCACTGGACAAGTAGATAAGAAGCTAGTCAGGTCAGAGAAGGCCTCGAATCGCCCTCACCTCCTTCTTATACAAGTACGGCCAGCCTTCTAGACACTGCCACCTCACCTCATTTCTCGAATGATATAGTCTGTCCCAGAATTCAATAATGCACACATGTGGATAACTCTGAAATATTCTGGCCGTCGCAGACTGCTGAAATCTGGCCACAAAACAGCTTGATATTTTACGATCGCTTCAGTTGCTGCCATGCTGCCATATTTGTCTTGTTGAGAAATGACCTGCTGCCTACTTTGTCATCACCTACTTTCTCTTTCGAAATATTGCAGGAACGCAGGATTGGAATCCTACACATCATAACATGGTGAGTCAATCAGTGACTGTGCAATAATTGATTGATAATGTTACATAATAATTTAATAATATATCCTCTTGTTTCATGTTTCAGTCTGCCGTGTCACGAGGGCCTGGTATATGTTAGTATATCCTCTTGTTTGATGTTTCAGTCTGCCGTGTATGGCTGTCACGAGGCCCAGGTATATGTTAGTATATCCTTTGGTTTCATGTTTCAGTCCACCGTGTATGGCTGTCACGAGGACCAGGTATATGTTAGTATATCCTCTGGTTTCATGTTTCAGTCCACCGTGTATGGCTGTCGAGAGGACCAGGTATATGATGGTATATCCTCTTGTTTCATGTTTCAGTCTGCCGTGTATGGTTGTCACGAGGACCAGGTATATGTTAGTATATCCTCTGGTTTCATGTTTCTGTCCACCGTGTATGGCTGTCACGAGGACCAGGTATATGTTAGTATATCCTCTGGTTTCATGTTTCAGTCTTGCGTGTATGGATGTCATGAGGGCCAGGTATATGCTGGTATATCCTCTTGTTTGATGTTTCAGTCCACCCTGTATGGCTGTCGAGAGGTCCAGGTATATGCTGGTATATCCTCTTGTTTCATGTTTCAGTCCACCGTGTATGGCTGTCGAGAGGACCAGGTATATGATGGTATATCCTCTTGTTTCATGTTTCAGTCTGCCGTGTATGGTTGTCACGAGGACCAGGAGTATCAGCTATCAACCTCCATGTTCGCCGCCCACTGGAACATCACACAACAACCTACCCATCAGTACCCGGATGTCAAGTGGAAGCTGGAAAGGAGGTTCACTTTATCAGGTAATGATAGAGACACCCTCACACTGTAGCCGTACTGACCCGTACATGGACTTTAATGAATTGCCAGTGAATTCGTAGCATTTGATTAGCTAACCAAACAATTAATTTCCGTAACGGACTTCTGTCTCTTGATTGGCTAAACAATGTCACTGATTCTTATCGCTTTATCAGGTACTGATAGATAACAATAAGCCTTCATGAAGTATCAAACATGTAATGTCGGGTGACAGTCGTCCTCACTATGGTTATATTTTACATAACATGAAGTTCTGTGCATGTGTTATATACTTCCGCCATGACACCACGTAGACGACAGTGTACGCCAATCTAAATTGTGGCGCATATTTAACGTACACGGACTCTCGCCAAAGATGTATAAACTATCTCTATTCCACCTATTGATATGTTATCTCAAATATAAAAAAAACGACTTTAGCCCCTGTAATGTTGGAGTCTGTCAATGATGTATACTAAGCCCATTATTGTTTAATATGTTCATAAATGAATTAGCTCTAGAAATTGAGTCTACATTTGAACCAGGCATCCAGTTTCCCCTAGAGTTTCTTCAGCTGTCTTTATTATTGTTTGCGGGGGATGTAACTTTAATTGCTGATACTTGATTTGGCCTACAGAAGCGCATGGATGTTCTTAGAGATAATTGCCATATATATTCATTAACGGTTAACTTTGATAAAACTAAAGTAGTGTAGTGGTTTTCAGTAAGGGATGATGTTTATCTTAACATGACAAATGGTATTATGGCGATGTTAGATACGAATGGGTTTCTTCTTATAACTATTTGGGTATATCATTCTGAGAAACTTCAAATTGGTCTACCAACGTATGCAATGCTGCACTTCAGGCCAAACAAATATACTATTTTGTATTTTAAAATCCCTCAGGAAAGTACAACCCTTTGATTATAAAGTATTTTACAAGATATTGAAAGTAGCACCAATATTGTTATATAGAGCTGACATTTGTGGTTTAAGTAACTATAAAGAAATTGAACAGATCCATATATTAGCGTGCAAACTCTTCTCAGACGTTAAGTCTTCGACACCCGGTCATGTCTTAAGAGGTGAGTGCGGTAGATATCCTCCGTACATATCAGTATGTAAGCGTTGTATTACTTATTGGTGTAAGGTTATATGGATGCTTAATAGTCGTTACCCAGGAAAGAGCTATAACCTGTAACAAAGCTGTAAATGGCAAGATTAATTGGGTATCCAAGGTGCAATACTCTATTTTAATTTGATTTCGACTATTTTAAGGAAAGCCAATCAGATTGTGTACAATCACCTAAATTAAATAAAATTTCTGTGTTAAACCATATCTTCTAAATATCAATATAGATAAATGTCGTACTGCGTTTTCCCGCTATCGTTGCAGTTCTCATACACTCCCTATTTAAGTGGGTAGATATCTCGGTGTCCCAAGAGACCAAAGATTTTGCAACCTCTGTATCATTGGTCTTATTGAAAACTAATACCATTTTCTATTAATTTGTAAAACATATAATAATCTAAGACAAATATATACCCAGCAAAATATTGCGTCAAATAAGTTTAACATATCGTTTTCATCATGCCATACTGAAACCGTGAAAAACTTTCATTATATGTATGCAATGAAAGTTAGAAGCTCTTTAATGTCCAATGTGGACCTGACTACTTAAATATACAATTGTTCGATGGCTTACATTGCGAAATGAATAAAGAATAAAGCAAAAGTAAGCATGCCAATCTATGACATGTTCTTTACCGGTAATTAACCTGAAATGCAAATCTAGTTCTTGCTGCTTGTTTGCTCGTTGTTAATTCATGCAGTTTGTGTTGGCATGTTGTCATGCTTATTATGTTGTCATGCTCGTTGTGTCATGCTCGTCAATGTCAAACCAAAACCCACGCCTAAAGTTTGATCTTTCATATCGAATGAATATCTACGTAATAGTCATATGCATACCTTGTCTTCTATGTTCAGATGACCTCTGGCACACAGAAAGGGACTATGAGTACACTGGACACCGCGACCACGTACTGTCCACGGGACTTGATCTGAAGTCGGGCTACACGTTCAGGGCGGCTGTGAAGCTGTGTGCTGTGAACATCTGCACTGACGCCGTGTACAGTGATGGAGTTACAGTGCTACACCAGCCACCTGTAAGCGGCAACATCAGCGTGAACTACACGAACACCGACATAGGCTCCAAGGTGATGAGGGCATATCTGATGGATGTCTCTACTAGTATTCGCCGACGCCATCAAGCATATCTAAACAGTTGCATGCATTGGTTTTATCATTTGTCAAAGGGCATACCCAGAAAAGTTTGTGTTTACAAGTAACTAAAAAGTATGTCATTTACAGGTAGGGGCGGAGGGCAGCTGAAATCTTGTACTTACATCATGGCTTTGGTCGATCCTTTAAAGGTCACGGTCACATCGAAGATACACTTCCAACTCATTCTATGTGACAACAATCTAATTATCATGTTAAAAAATGTGTCGGGTCCTATGAGCGAAATCCATGATATGATTTGTGTACAGAATGATATTCACGAACAGAGAGCTGACCAACTTTCAACTTTTCACCAGTTCTATCTTCATTAATGCTATAGCTTCTAAAATACTCAAAGATACTGTTTGGCACACTTGCTAACAATAAAAATTATACTTTACTGTGCTTATGAACCGCTTAGGCTTCCACGGTTTAGTGGCACGGGGATTATTTTACTGTGAGTCTCTATACTGGCGTGTCCCAGCATCAGCAGACTCCACACCTTCCTGCGTCAACTGTTCCAGCTTGAGGTGACCATGGCAAGGTTTGCTGACCCGGACATGCCAGTGAAGACTGAAGCGTATGGCGTTGTAGACAGATATGAATGGAGCTTAACAGACAGTGACCACGACAGCAGGCTTCTGACAACGTGGCAGCCAGTGTCAGACAGCACAACCAGCGGTGATGTGGTACGTTTGATGAGGAAAGTGATTGTTGTTGAAAGCGGCAGTCAGCAAAAGTCAAGCTTTATCAATGCGGCCTGTAAAAACCAGTGATTGATATCATAAGGAACGTCCCACCGATCTCATTTAACTGCTCATTACGACATGTTGTTTTCATATTGGCTTTGTTACAGGTCCAAGGTCAGTCATATTGGCCCTAGAGGGACAATATTGGCCCGATCCATTATAACTTTCACAGCTATTTTGCCCTTGATGCTCAGTCAAGGAAACTGTTTACTTCCGCCATTCACACACTTGGCACAACAAGTAATTATTGCCTGACGCCGCACAGCTGTATTCCTGCCCCGCGACGGCTGTCTGTAAACAAACCAGACAGTATTCCATTTTCATCGCTATTTTGTCTCTAATCCCAATGGAATCCGTTTCGTCGGATATTCGAGAGTGATTACTCTCTAACGTTGACGTCAGATATCTACTTTAATCCGTGGAACCACGAGGTAGCATTGTATCTAATATGGATGACAACTACGGATAAATCACAACACTGTTACTCCCAACACATCGGTTGTTCCAGATGACATTCCATGTACTGCTGCCCCAACGCATGGACTTCAGTAAGTGCCGTCGTCTTGCTGTTCGAGGCTACAACAAAGTGGGGCTCTCCACCACCGTATCCGCCGACGTGAGAGCCTGTGCTGAATACGACCCTGCGGTTGTAGTGCCTGCCATCGTCATCGATGTTGTTGGTAAGATTTAGTCTGATTTAAAGACACTACCAGGATTTCCAAGGGATATGTTTGGGATATTTCCAAAGGTCATGGCTATGAACATGCAGCGTGTGGATAATTTCGATTTACGTGGAGGCTCATCGTGATAGAACTGTTTTGTGCAATTTTGCACACATTTGTTTGTCCGCTGATCCTTTTGTGAAGCATGTCAAACGAAAATATTCTACAATTTCCTCAATATCAATGTTGATTTTGTTGATGGTTCTGTACTGTTGGACGGTACTGATACGAGTGTCCACCAAGCCAAGTGCCATATCAAAACGCCACAGACTCAAGTTTTCAGGGAGAGGCTTTCTAAACGACCACTGCGTCGAGTCTATGTGCAGTATGTTGAGAAGAGCAGTAAACCCTTCGCATAGATGAAGTCGGCTGTCCTGAAAAGTGAAACTGAGAGGCTTTCTGTTTGCTGCTCAGGACCAGTCACGTCCCATTCGAAAGTGCATCACAATGAAAATATGAAATGCAGATAATACAGTGAATTAAATGAGACTGTCCAACACATTGTCTGTGGATGCCCAGCTTTGGCACAAACACAGTTTCTAAAGCAACATGATGGAGTGGCTCGATCCTTTTATTATCGTCTTCGGCATTCATATGTTTTTGACACAAAGGGCCATGTATATGGACCCAGAATATGTAGATAGCGCCATGAAAAATGGTAGATATAAAAGTCTTTGGAAAAGGCCTGTATACAGTCTCACATCCATCCAGGCCAACATACCTTAATGTTGTCATTTTTTTATAAATCGAATGAAATCATTTATATCATTGAATGTTCTGTCCCTTTCGACACTAATGTGACAAGATTCAGGACAAACATGGCAAATATGCGGACCTCGTTTCGAAATGTCATGCTTGCATTCCAAATATCAAGTTGTCCGATTCCATTGTTCTCGGTGCCTCCCAATCTGTTGACTGACATTAGGAGAGTACCCAGGTTTGCTGCCAAGAATACAGCCCTTCTGACAATCTGGGTAATGCAGAAGGCTGCAGTGTTGGGGAGTCTCAGAAGAGTTCTGGGTGGGTTCAGCTAGGCAGCACGGCCTGGGAGAAGTCCCATTCGCTGTCTGGGCTGCGTATAGAGGGGGCAAGGACCTCAGCCAGTTGGGCGCAAAAGTGTTTTACACATTTCCTGTGTTACATATCACAGATATGTCATATGTAATTATTAACTTCTTCATCTGAACCATATTGTGCTATTTCCCAAATATCCCCCCACTCAACGAGTGTCATGTAAGTTACCATCCTGCTGCCAGGCGCCAGACAAGTTGCTGATGTCGGGGACCCCATCACCCTGGAAAAGAATGACAGGTGGAAGCTCGCTGATGCTGACTACACCCCTTTCAGGAACATCCTGTCTGCTGTGTGGCCGACACTCCGTCACAGGAACTACACGTGGGCAGTGGTGTCAGGTGACCAGGTGGACCCCTCCTCACACTACAAGAAAGAGAATCTGATGACCTTCACTGACCCCTGTAGCATGCCGGATGTCATCAAGTGCGGGCACACAGGTAGTGGCTTGACGAGAATTACCATGTTCATTCATCAAGGCCACCACAACCCTCAAAACGAACGCTGTATACATAACATTTCCGAGAAAGTGAAATGCATACTACTTTGCACACCACTACTTTTACAAAAGTCGATATATTTAAAGATGAAGACAGGGTGCTTAATGAATCAGAAATGCCCAAAACAACATATGCCGCTCCATATGCAGAAGAATTTGCATCGGATAAGAGATGAAGAGTATTATTTGTCTCGAAAATAGAACTATTACAAAAAATAGACACTTACATTTTTATGCCAATTTTGTGAGTGGTGGGTGCTACGGGTAGGACAAAGCATGCTTGCCCTTTTTTCGAACACCTGGTGTTATCACTATTTTTTTCAGTTTTCATTCAATTAATTTTCATCCCATTTCTGCATTTTACGCCAAATGGAATATTACATTATTAGTGACTGGTGTTTCAGACAAGGAATTCATAAATGTGGCCTTTGCCGAGACAGAACGGCGGCTAGTCCACGGGAGGATGTATTATGTGTGTGTTCATGCTGATGCCAGAACCGTGGAGAACGAGAAGTGGACAGAAGACTTACCAGAGGTCAACTCCTGTAGTGACGGGGTCACGGTGGACGTGACACCACCGAGCGGAGGAAGGGTTTTTCTGGGCGGACTCACCAGTCCCACCTTCCAGGTGCAATAGTCAGCTCAGTCTCGTCACTGGTTTACTCCTGATAACATCCTGATCCGCTGTGCTCAACAAAAGAATTTAATGTCTCTTTGATACATTTAATATCTACTCATTTACTGAAATTGACTTCCACACATTATGTACCTTGGCATCAGTTGAGATTGGCACAAGGCTCATGTAGTTTATGTAAAGCGAGGCAATATATGTATGTGTGAAATGATGTTCTTGAGGTATGAAACCTTCTCACTCGTGGTACATATGTCATTTCCCTAGAGTGCTGTTAAGCGTTTGTTCAATGGTAGTTTTCCGAAGACACCTTACCATTTCTGGTGTCCCCTACCGTTATGTTGCTTTAGTATTGCTTTTTGTGGCATTACCATTCTCACCCATAGGACCATTGCTGTTTTTTGTTGAGTGAGATTGTGAACTACAGGTATGTTTGTTTAGACTAGCACAAGCGAGATGGTGGTCTACTGGGACGGCTTCACTGATGTAGAAGAGGAAGGGCCTTCTCCACACCCCAGTGGGATAGCATATTATGAAGTTGCTCTGGGTAAGTCTCTATAAAATGTTCACCCTGCAGTGATTCCGGTTAAGAATATGCGCCAAGAAGCCTTTGCTGGTCGTGAGGGGCGAGCTAGGGGCGATCGAGTGGTCAGGTTAGGTGACTTTGGTGCCTGCGTGTCATTGTGCGGCCGTCATACAGCTGATTTATTGCAGAGTGGACCAACAAACAAACATAATATCTTGTCCTCTTATTGTGACTTTGACAGTGGTTTTGGCGAAGCAAGAATCTTGAAGTGTGGATATTATGTCAGTTGTCAACAGGGGAAACCCCTTCTAGTTTACTTAAATAAATCTTATGAAGGTCATCTAGAACATACAAGATTACACATTACTGGTATCTACAGGCTACACACAACATCGACAGAACAGATTACTGAACGTAAAAACGGTACGGCAGGCGGCAGATTGCTTTTAACCTTTGTATGGGACAATAACTTAATCAAGCTTATGAAAGGAATCATTACTTTCGTGTAAAAACGTATACCAGCTTCAAGTATTGACTTTCACACCAATATGTTATGCAATAAGAGACATTGTACATTCTGCCAGATCTGATTGCTGAAGTGATTTATGTCAGTCATAGATAATTATCAATATTTACAGTCTTATATTTTACCACAATTCGTTATCACAGAACCGAGTCGCTTCACAGCACCAGGCTCTAGCCACGTGTACGCTTGATGGCTTCACAGTACCAGGCTCTAGCCACGGGTAAGCTTGATGGCTTCACAGCACCAGGCTCTAGCCACGTGTAAGCTTGATGGCTTCACAACACCAGGCTCTAGCCACGTGTATGCTTGATGGCTTCGCAGCACCAGGCTCTAGCCACATGTAGGCTTGATGGCTTCACAGCACCAGGCTCTAGCCACGTGTAAGCTTGATGGCTTCACAGCACCAGGCTCTAGCCACGTGTACGCTTGATGGCTTCACAACACCAGGCTCTATCACGTGTCAGACTTGATGGCTTCCTGTACCAGGGTGACCGGTTAACTGTGAAGTAACTCCGACTCCTCTTTCGTAGGTTCTGATCCAGGAGGGGAGGACGTGGTTGCAAGACGGAGAGAGGGTTTGGTGAACCACGCCATCCTGCACGGCCTCCGGCTACACGACGGGCACACCATCTACGCGTCGGTGACAGGTACAAGTCAATGACGACACAATCCTTACACAATTTGTGTTCCTATTATCTGGTATTGCATAGACGGGTGGTGTTGTGACACAATATACATGTATCTGACATTATATGGTGACAGAATAAACATATATCTGACATTGCATGTATGACATTGTACAGATGGATGGAAACAGAATATACATATATCTGACACTGTATGTATGACATTGTACAGATGGATGGAAACAGAATATACATATATCTGACATTGTATGTATGACATCGTTCAGATGGATGGTGACAGAATATGCATTTATCTGACATTGTATATATGACATAGTACAGATGGATGGTGACAGAATATACATGTATCTGACATTGTATATATGACATTGTATAGATGGATGGTGACAGAATATATATATATATCTAACTTTGTAAATTTGACACTGTACAGATGGTTGGTGACAGAATATACATGTATCTGACATTGTACAGGTGGATGGTGACAGAATATACATGTATATGACATTGTATATTTGACATTGTACAGATGGATGGTGACAGAATATACATGCATCTGACATTGTATATTTGACATTGTACAGATGGATGGTGGGAGAATATACATATATCTGACATTGTCTAGATGGATGGTGACACAGTTTACACCTATTGGACATTGTGTAACACAGTGTATATGTCAATATATATCACTCGTACAGTGCGTTGGACATCTGACGTAGATCACTGGTTAATGACATTGCAGTAATAAAGGATCAATGAACGAATAAATAAAATAGATAAAAGCATATCTCGACTGATCCTTCAATTTACGCATTTTTGATATTTGATAATATTTTGATAAATAGGTTCCTTGTTACAAAAAAAATTGTTTTGTGGATCACCGTCAGCGTCTTCTGTTGCAGCCACGGACTTTGTGAACAAGAGCAGGACAGTCATATCGTCGGGGGTGTTGATTGACTCCACGCCGCCAATGACGTCAGGGGGATCAATACATTTCTCTGGGAAATACATAACGAAGTCTGTGATAGATGTGTGGTAAGTGATACAGTTAGTGTCTACCAATAATACAGTAAGAACTTGACATAAAGTGAATCTGATTGTTGGTTTCCTTTGCTGGTGAGATTGTCTTCAGTTTGAAAGTATTGATCGTCTGTGGCGTGCTTGTTCAAGCTGGGACGGTGCTCTGTCTGACCCGGAGAGTGGCGTCGTAAGCTATGACGTGGGGGTGGGATCGAGACCTGCCTATGACGACGTGGTCAAGTACACATCTACAACGGACCAGTGTATGGTTATCGACGGCGAGGCACCCCTAGCAGACGGGCATGTCTACTTTGTCTCAGTGAAGGTAATGTATTTATCAATTTATATATTCTGTATTTCTAGCTTCAAGCCATATGAAAGCCTAACTCTCAACAAATGTGTCTTGCCCCCTACGAGGCAATATTTTACGGACGCTTCTCTTTCTATCTAAGTCAATAAGAGTTATCTTTTCTTACCTTTTTTTCAAACTTCCGGAAAAAGCACGTGTTTCAAATCAGTGGTTTCTACGCCTACTCAAAGGTCTTATCACCATTACTCAAGTGCTGATATGTACAGGTTTTTTACCCCTTTTGTACTACGGGTTTATGATGATTAAAGAAACAATACAAGCATCTTTTCGAAGTCGTTATAGTAAAAAACCTTCATCGCCACTCTCGTATATGAGGCACAGCGCTCCGATGACCACGAGACGTACGATCCATTGATACATTATTCTTCCAAGAATTGAGCGTGAGTATTACACTATGGAATCACGTAAAGGATCTAGACGTTTAACGGAGCTAGGTTACGAACTATACCAAGAAAACGTGCAAAATTATGTCAACAAACTTTCCAAACTAGCAAGGCAAACAGAGAGTGCCTGTTCACACTCGACACATGATGATTTGGGACAATTAACCAGTGTGCGTGCAAATATTGACTGCCAATACGGGAAGTATGAGGAAACATATTTGGAATTCTTTGCATATTTACAACGAACTGGCACTGAAGAAAGTTCACAAGTACAGGCTGCACATCAAAACATTGCCGATTCACTCTTGAATAAGGTGCAGATGGCACTGAAGGACATTAATGCTAGAATTACTAGTTTGACAAACACTGACAGGATAGAATCAGCTTCTGTGCGAAGCAAAAGCCTTCATTCAAATGGAAGTTCTATTCTCATGAGACAAAAAGCAAAGGCTGAAGCGGCCAGGATTCGACTGAAATTCGCTGAACAGGAAGCAAAGATGGAGAAACAGCGAGCTGAACTGGAAGTGAACCTGAAACTTCTTACTTCACAGCGTGAAGTACATGAAGCTGAGGCAGAATTACAAGCTATGCAGGGAGTTTTGGAGGTTGACAAGAAATCAAGGCGAGACGACCGTTCTTCCCAGACATCGGTGAAGCTCGAAGAAATTCAGAAATTTGTGGAAAATCAACAAACCTTTTATGAGTTTGAAACGAGGATACTTGACCAGGTTGAAACTGTGTCCAAGAACCAAGACATACCCGTAAGTACGAGTACACCTCACAAAGCCGGGCAGAGTAATCGCAACACAGTTCATGACCTCAAGTCCTTCCATAACCATGGTGACGACTCCCATACTCAACCAAGGCAAGTACATGCACCAGAGGCCTCGACAATTCAACGTGGTACTGTTCCACCAAATAGTATGCTCAACCCTGCAGCTGAACCTTATGTCCCAGACATGACAGCTCCCCCTGCATTGGGACATGTGACAAACCAACTGGGTTTGTGTTCAGAACTCTCCAAATATTTGATGAGGAAAGACCTCCTCCTCTCTCGGCTGAGTAAATTCAACGATAAGCCAGAGTATTTTGCTGTGTGGCAGAATAGCTTTACACAAATTATGTACGAACTAAATGTGTCTCCGCAGGAGGAAATCGACTTGCTGGTCAGGTGGCTTGGCCCGGAGTCCAGCAGACAAGCCGCTAGTATTCGTGCTGCTAATGCTCATAATTCACTTCGTGGCCTTCAGAAGATCTGGGAATGACTGGGGGACAGATATGCCAGTCCTGAGCTTGTGGAGTCTGCACTCAAGAAAAAATTGTCTCATTTCCCTAAACTTTCCAACAAAGAACATGATAAACTGTATGACCTGGCAGACATTGTGTCCGAAATTGAGTCTGTGAAGGACAATCAGAGGTACTCAGCCCTTCTGGCATACTATGACTCTTCAGCGGGCGTGACTCCGATTGTGAACAGGCTTCCCTACCCTCTTCAAGAGAACTGGACAAATGAAGCAGTCAACTGCAAGGAACGGTATCATGTTGCTTATCCTCCCTTTTCTGTGTTCTCAGAATTCATAAGCAGACAGGCTAGAATCCGAAATGATCCAAGCTTTCTTTATGACTCACAGTCAGCGCCAAATTCCACAAAGAAATTTCATCCCTTGAATATCAACCCAAACTTCAAACTGTTGTCAAAGAAAACTGACATCGGGGAGAAAGACAATGTTACAGAACGAGTTAGACTCTGTACCTACCACGATAAATCGGAGGGACATACTCTTAATTATTGTAAGGGGTTCCAACGTCTGTCTCTGAGTGAGAGAAAGGACTTTCTTGGTAAGCATAGAATATGCTTCAAGTGTTGTGAATCTACTCAGCACACTGTGCGTGAATGCAAGTGTAGCATTCAGTGTTTCTTTTGTGGGAGTGTTCAGCAAGCTACCGCCATGCATAGTAACAATGAGGGAGAAACCTCCGCTAAAGTTGCAGACAGCAGGACTTCGCTGAGGAAGCATGAAGGGGAGAGAAACGTTACTGCTCTGTCGGCGTCACATCATGAAGAGAAGCCAATAACGATGTCAGCTTGCACACAGATATGTGATAATTTGGTTGGCGGCAAGTCATGTGCCAAGACTCTGCTAGTCAAGGTATTTCCAAAAGGATGTCCAGAACAGTACTTATTCTCATACGCTGTTATCGATGATCAGAGCAACCGGTCACTTGCAAAAAGTGAGTTCTTTGATAATTTTCATGAAGATGGAGATGAAGTTGAATACACACTCTCATCTTGTGCTGGTTGTGTGACAATGTCTGGCCGACGAGCATCAGGATATGTCATTCAAGCCTTAGACGGGTCCTCATCATTACATTTACCCACCTTGAAAGAGTGTAATGAGATTCCAAATGTGCGAGAGGAGATCCCTACTCCAGAAACAGCTATTCATCATCCTCACTTAAGGGACATTGCTGAGTACATCCCACCTATTGATTCAGGTGCAGACATTCTGTTGCTCATAGGACGTGACCTGCTAGCAGCTCATCATGTACTTGATCAGCACATTGGACTGCCTGATGCACCGTATGCCCAGAAGTTGCACCTTGGCTGGGCAATAATTGGGGAAGTCTGTCTCGGGCAGGTACACAAACCGGATGTGGTAATAGTTAACAAGACTCACATGCTCAGGGATGGTCGAACAACAATCATGGAGCCCTGTCCTAATAATTTTGAAGTCAACGAGAGAAATGACTTTGGGGAGAGTGTCTTTCAGAAAACAAGACTTGACGAAACGCAGACTTTGTCTATTGAAGACAAGCAATTCCTGAGGATTATGGATGCCGAATTCTCAAAGGATAGTGATGGCTGTTGGACTGCTCCACTACCATTTCGACAAGATCGTGCCAGGCTGCCATGCAACAAATTCCATGCCATTCATCGAGCAAAACTATTGAACTCCAGCATGCGCAAAGATCCAACAAAGCGAGAACATAGGACAACATTCATGGCAAAAGTCATAGACAAGGGACATGCAGAAATAGCCCCTCCATTGGAAAAGGATCAAGAGTGTTGGTACTTGCCCTTGTTTGGTGTTTACAATGCCAAGAAACCAGGACAAATCAGGGGTGTATTTGATTCATCTGCGAAGTACAATGGCGTCTCTCTGAACAGTGTCCAAATGACTGGTCCTGACGTCACAAACAATCTGTTGGGAATCCTTCTCAGGTTCCGAACAGAATCCTTTGCAGTGACGGCAGATGTGGAGCAAATGTTTTACTGCTTCAAGGTGAAGCCATCTCATCGTGACTACCTCAGATTCTTCTGGTACAGAAATAATGATCCAAGCCAAGACTTGATTGAGTACAGAATGACTGCTCATGTGTTTGGGAATTCACCCTCTCCTGCAGTCGCTACCTATGGTCTCAGACGATCAGTGGAAAATGCTGACGTTGATGTGAAACGGTTCGTGGAGAATGACTTTTATGTTGATGACGGACTGCTGTCCGTCCCCACAGAGGAAAAAGCCATCGATCTGATTCAGAGAACCCAGAGTGTGCTCCAACATGGGGGTAACATAAGACTACACAAGATAGCCTCCAACAGTCGAACTGTGCTAGCTGCGTTTGATGCGGAGGACCTCGCAAAGGACATCAAGGACTTGGACTTCAACACGAACACTCCTCCGCCTCAAAGAAGCCTTGGCCTATCCTGGGATATTAACAAAGACACTTTCACCTTTCAAGTCTGTGCCGAGAGGAAGCCCTTCACCAGGCGCGGGGTATTGTCTACCATAAACAGCCTCTACGACCCTGTGGGCTTTGCAGCACCAGTTGTCATCAAAGGAAAACTGTTGCTTAGGGAACTAATGTCAACAACCTCTGGTTGGGATGACCCCCTTCCCTCTTCTTACTTATCTCAGTGGCAGAACTGGTGTGACTCCCTCAAGAATCTTGAAAATGTTGTCATCCCAAGACCTTATTCAAAAATCTCAATGTCTGCTTCCCTTACCACAGAGATTCATATATTCTCTGATGCTTCGAAGGAAGCAATAGGTGCTGTTGCTTACCTCAAGATGTACGACGTCAATGGCACCAGTACACTGAGTTTCTTGCTGGGCAAGTCCAAAGTAGCCCCACGTCATGGACATACCATACATCGGTTAGAGTTGTGTGCTGCTGTTCTATCTGCATAGATGGCAGATGTCCTACTCCAGCAGCTTGACATTCATTCATTTTTTCACAGACAGCCGCGTCGTATTGGGTTATATATGCAATGAGAAACGAAGATTCCATGTGTATGTCGCAAACAGGATTGACAGAATTCGCCAATCTTCACAACCAAAACAGTGGAACTATGTGCCATCAAACATAAATCCAGCTGATCAAGCAACGAGGTCTGTGACATCATTGTGCTACAGTGATAGCCTTTGGTTAAGAGGACCTGATGTCCTGAGCCAAAGTGATACATCCGATATGTGTGACTCACAACTTTTCTCGCTTGTCGACCCAGACAATGATAAAGAGGTTAGAGCCGAACTCAAGTCGACTAAAACCTCAGTCTCTACAGCTGTGCCGCAACAACTGGGCACTGATCGCTTTACGAGATTTTCTAGTTGACTTTTAAAGACAATCTCACATCTGAAACACATTGCAAGATCCTTCACCAAAACTAACAGTTCATGTGTTGGTTGGCACCAGTGTAAAGACTTAAGAAATGTAGAAGGATTTAAGGATGCAGAGGTCTTCATTGTCAAAGCAGTCCAAAGGGAAGCTTACTCTGAGGAGATCATGTGTCTGCAAAACCAGAAGCCACTTCCAAGGAAAAGCTCATTCTTGTCCCTCTCACCTGCTTTAGATGAACAAGGCCTTCTTAGGGTAGGAGGAAGACTGAAGAACAGCAAACTGACAGCTTGTGAGATTAATCCCATTATCATTCCCAAGGGAAACGATGTTGCAAAGCTTCTTGTACACCACTACCATGACAGGGTAAGACATCAAGGAAGACATCTGACGGAAGGTGCTCTGAAATCGGCAGGTTACTGGATTATTGGGGCAAAAAGACTGGTGTCATATCTAATCAGCAAGTGTGTCACGTGCAATCGGCTCAGATGAAAACCTGAAACTCAGATGATGTCAGATTTGCCTCCAGACCGCTTGGTGCCATGCCCACCATTCACTTATGTTGGTGTTGACGCTTTCGGACCATGGGAAATTGTGACTCGTCGTACAAGAGGTGGTAGTGCAAACAGCAAAAGATGGGCGATATTGTTTACCTGCCTAATGATACGTGCAGTACACATTGAACTCGTTGAAGAAATGACAAGCTCCTCATTCATAAACTGTCTCAGAAGGTTTATTGCCTTAAGAGGGGAAGTCAAGCAATTCCGTTCTGATAGGGGAACAAATTTCATTGGTGCTATTGAATCCCTTAATGTCACTGCTGTTAATGTAGAAGATGGGCCTGTGCAAGACTTCCTGTACAACAATGGTGTGGTTTGGTTGTTCAACACCCCTCACTCATCTCACATGGGAGGTGTATGGGAGCGAATGATTGGGACTTCTCGGAGAAGCTATGCTCCTGAACACAAAACGGTTGACCCATGAAGTACTCTCGACCCTTATGGCTGAAGTGACGGCAATCATCAATGCTCGACCTATCACATCCATCTCGACTGACCCTCAACAACCGATGATCTTATCACCTGCAATGTTACTGACTCAAAAAACGGAACACACCCCAAATATTGATCTGTCTCTAGATGTAAAAAATATATGCAAGTCTCAGTGGATGTATGTCCAGACACTTACAGAAGAGTTTTGGCGAAGATGGAGACTTGACTACTTGCAGAGTCTTCAAACCAGGTCGAAATGGAAGATTTCCCAGCCTTACCTGCAAGAAGGGGATGTTGTTCTTGTGAAAGACAATTGTGCAAGGAATGAGTGGCCTCTTGGTGTTGTGGAAACAGTGTTTCCTGGACAAGATAACCTTGTCCGCAAAGCCGCGATTCATGTGTACAAGAACGATAAGTGTGTGACTTACAACCGTCCAGTTGTGAACCTTGTTCGCTTGTTTTAATTCCACTTGTGTCTGTGAGATATGTGACATTAGAGCGACATTTCAATTGTGTGTGATTTCAATGCGAAATCAGAAGGGGAGTGTCTTGCCCCCTACGAGGCAATATTTTACGGACGCTTCTCTTTCTATCTAAGTCAGTAAGAGTTATCTTTTCTTACCTTTTTTTTCAAACTTCCGGAAAAAGCACGTGTTTCAAATCAGTGGTTTCTACTCCTACTCAAAGGTCTTATCACCATTACTCAAATGCTGACATGTACAGGTTTTTTACCCCTTTTGTACTACGGGTTTATGATGATTAAAGAAACAATACAAGCATCTTTTCGAAGTCGTTATAAAATGCATAACCTTATTACTACGTATAAAATGGTAAAAGTGTGAAACTGAAATATATGATACTACAATGTCTTAATCGTGCACTAGGGATACAACAAAGTAGGCCTGCACAGTCTCATCACTTTACGACCTGTGACGGCTGACAACACACCGCCATCTAGGGGCCACGTGTATGATGGACAACGCACCAACGTTAGAGGCCAGGCAAAGGACGCTGACTTTGTCACCCTGATGTCGGAGATGGGTTCCTACTGGGAGGGGTTTTCTGACCCCCACTCTTCAATCAGTCACTATCTCCTCCAGGTGGGCACGTGTCGGGGATGTGACGACACGCTCGCTCAGTCACACGTGGAAGCAAGAACAGGTAAAAAGCAAAAATGTTCCTTAAATATCATTAATAACGCAAAACAGTCCTCACTGTACTGGGTGTGAGTAAGTTTGTCCGCCGCTTCAAGAAATATTCCATCAATCTTACGGCGGGTCATCAAAAATGGGCTTCACACATTGTACCCATGTTGGGAATCGAACCCGGGTCTTCGGCTGGACGAGGGAACATTTTAACAACTAGGTTACCACACCTCCTACCTTACTGGGAATCTTGATATTAGTTTTTGAGGTTCGTTGTCCATCAATGTACAGAAAGCATCCTCTTGTCTCGTGTAACAGGCTTAGGACTGATGGTAAAACCTTGGTATTACATATCTACGTTTATACCCCGACATCTGATTGTTGTAATAATATTCATGAAGGCATACTGCGGTAAAACGTGTGTGTTTCATTGTTGTACAAATATTTATGAAGGTCTACTGTGGTAAAATATGCGTGTCTCATTGGTTTACTAATATTTATGGATATATATTGCGGCTACCCTGTACGTGTCTAATTGTAATAATATTTATGAAGGTATACTGCGGCAAAATGTGTTTGTCTTATTGTTGTACTAATAGTTATGAAGGCATTCTGTGGTAAAATGTGTGTGTCCCATTGTTGTACTAATAGTTATGAAGGCATACTGCGGTAAAATGTGTGTCTAATTGTTGTACTAATATTTATGAAAGTATATTGCGGCAAAATTGTGCGTGTCTAATTGTCGTACTAATATTTATGAAGATATACTGCGGCTACCCTGTGCGTGTCTAATTGTTGCAGATGTTGGTTTCTACGACATTGCCTTCAAGTGTGGCATGACGTATTACGTGACGGTGACCGCGTGTAACATGGCTAGTCTGTGCACCATGGCGACAAGTGATGGTGTCATCTTAGACGTGACCGCTCCACGAACTGGGAACATCATGGACGGAACCCGAGATGAAGATGTCCAATATCAGGCTTCCAGGTGATCATGATGCAACTCAATCTGTCATTGGCCATAGTATTATCAAACTTATTTAGGAACAGTAAACAATCCATTATTCATCTGTAAAATAAATTTAAAAAGAAGTTACTAAAGTACTATCTGTTTTTCTGAGTTGGCCTGAACTGAAGGTTGTGATTTTAAAACAAAAGAATTACGGGATCATAAGTTCACATTATCCTGCCAAATAGTTCTTTGTGATTATTGTTTTCAGGACATTCCTTGGTTGTAAGTGGCGAGGCTTCCACGACCCTGAGTCTGGGTTAGCCCACTATGAATGGCGTGTGGGGACAACTCCAGGAGGTGACGAGATTCTCGCAGCAACGAATGCAGCCCTGGAGGAGGCCATCTTCCACACGCTGTCACGTGACCACCAACTTCCGGTTGGACAGACTCTGTACACAACTGTCAGGGCCTACAACAAAGCAGGTTATGAGCTATAACGCACATCTTTAATATCATCTCTCAGTTGAAACCAAAGCTGGCTAAAGTCGAAAGAGAGTATTTATATATCATGAAATTATCATTTATTAATCCTAAAGCGCACATTGGCAGACATTTCATAGCCTCCAGTAGGCTGCACATTTGTTTATATTTTCAAATCTATATTCACCAATTTCTTCCTTAATCACCTTCCTCCAAATACGTATACTTTATTTCTTCGAATGTGAACTTTGAATAAGCATTCGAGATCGGAAGCAAAAATAGAAATAAACTGATATGTTTACAAAACGTAGGGTTAATGCACAGAAATAACACTATAACGAGGAATGCACTAAACAACGTATTTGGGTGTAAGTGACGAATGAAGAGATCAGTTTATGGATTAAAAAACAATATAATATTTGTCACCAATCCGGGAGAAGTAGATGTGGGAAAACTTTACTTACGGGACGATCTGTATCCCCCAGTTGTGATGTGTAGAAAAACTGAATCAAACGAAGAAAGGTGATGCGTATCCAAAACAGCTAGTTGTATATATGTTATCACTTTGTTGTGGCAGGATTATACAGTGAAATTACGTCCAACGGGTTTCTGGTTGACATCACTCCACCGGAAGTTGTCGTGACACCAGGGATTCTAGATGGACACGGTTCCATTGTGGCTGGGACGTCAATCAGCAGGACGACCTTGAGGATAGGCTGGAAGTTCAAGGACGAAGAGTCTTACATTGAGAGACAGTACCTCTCCATCTCATCACACCAACTGGGGGAGTTCAAGTCAAGTCTCCTGAAGGTAACCGTCATTTGTTCATGTTAAACATGGTTTAGAAGCAAGGTGAAGTATACAACACTAATGGTAATATGTATCGCAATCTATATCATCTACATCTACAAAACTGTGACCACACTCAACATCCGCATCTTATAACATTATAATCACGGTTTCTATAATCAATGGATTTGATATCTCATATAAAGTGCATTTATTACAAACATAACACTATTCTATTTCTACCTTCCCTAAAGATCCCAGGACTTGTTGAAGAATACACGCTGTCACAGCTGGACCTCCACGATGGAAGCAGCTACACAGTGAAGCTCGTCGCCTGCAATATGGCCGGCTTATGTCACTCCTCAGACACTGGGGCCATGCTGGTGGACAGCTCGAATCCCTTGACAGGTAACAACACAGCAATATATCAATGAATCATTGACAGTTAACACACAGTAATGTTCCATGAATTTTTGACAGGTAACACAGTAAGGTATCCATGAATCTTTGACAGGTAACATACAGTAATTTGTCCATGAATCATTGACAGGTAATACACAGTAATGTCTCCATGAATCTTTGACAGGTAACACAGTAATGTCTCAATGAATCTTTGACAGGTAACACAGTAATGTCTCCATGAATCTTTGACAGGTAATACACAGTAATGTCTCCATAAATCTTTGACAGGTAACACAGTAATGTCTCCATGAATCTTTGACAGGTAACACAGTAATGTCTCAATGAATCCTTGACAGGTAACGAACAGTAATAATTCCATAAATCGTTGACAGTTGACACACACTATTGTATCCATGGATCTTTGACGGTTAACACAACAATGTATCCACGAATGTTCCACTCTTCTCTCACTAACACGGTTCTATGACTGTAATGCAGGTGCGCTAGCTGTGCACACCGACCATGCAGCGGGGTTGTCTCGACACCAGTCTGGCTGGATGACATGGAACAGGACCCGGCTGAACCTCGCTTGGCTTGGCTTCTCTGATCTCCATTCTGGAATAACGCACTACATCATCACAGCGGGGTCTGCTGAGTTCGGGACGGATCTTACTGAGGTGGAATCACGTTCATACTGAAAACACATTACATATTTAAAAATATTTTGTCCGAGGTTATATAATACTGATGTGTCGTTGGTATGACGTATACACAGTTTCATGTAGTAGGTGAGGTGAGGTGAAATTGGGTTTAACGTCGCGTCCAAGATTATTGCACTTATATAGCGACGTGCATGTACGAGTATGTGTTTGTGTGGCTGCTTGTTCTAGTCCGGACTAATGCCGATTTATAGTGCTAGCTCACTGAGATTCCACGCCGCAGTTTAACATGAATTCCCCACTCAGACACAGTATACTCACTCCGAGCCGACCAGTCCTTGTTTTAGCCCCTTAATGCCGAGCGCCAGACAGGGTAACAACAAGTACCATCTTTTAATGTCTTTTGGTATGACGCGGCTTGGGATCGAACCCCGGACCTTCCGCTCTCCGGGCGGACGCTCTACCACAGGACCACGGAGGCGGTCATTTCATGTAGTAGGGATACTAACATACTAAAAGAAACAACATAGATACACGGAGGAACACTTACAGATTTGTCGTTGTTGGTGCATTTTGAGATGGGGAAGTGTGATGAGGTGAGATTTAATGGGGCGGAATGGGGTTTTAGCGTCGCGCTCAACAATATTGCACTTATATAGCGACGTGGTGCATGCACGTCTGTGTGTGTGTGTGTATGTGTGTGTGTGTGTGTGTGTGTGTGTGTGTGTGTGTGTGTGTGTGTGTGTGTGTATGTGTGTTTATGTTTGTTTGTTTGTTTGTTTGTTTGTTTGTTTGTACTAGTACTACCACTCCGACACGGTGTTCTGACTCCGAGGTGACCTGGTGCATCTTGAAACCACCTTGACATCATTTACTTACAGATACGTGTGTCTGTTGCAGGGAAGCACATTTGTGCTCGTACAACACAATGTGTCTGGCATTGAGCACGAGGACGAAGGCAGAGTTCAGACTGGTGTTGTAGACACAAATGACCTCTCTTCCACACCGTCTGTGTTTGTGGCAATCTGGGCTGTCAACGGGGTAGGTGTTACATGTTCGCGAACACCTGGTGTCAACGCTGGTTTTCAGTGATCCATTCATGTAATTTTCACTGCTAATTTGCCCTTTTCCAAATGGAATCTGCTTCGGCATATTTCCGAGACTGATTGTTCTCTCGCGTTGACGTTTTATATTTACAACCCAAGAACACACAAAAACATTCCCACAGAATTAACCTAGTTATGTTTCTATGTTCAATGTGTATTCCTTGTGACCCAGGTTGGCCTCAAGAGTGATGCGCTTCACCTGGAACTGGAACTAGGAGCTGGGGGGAAGCTGGAGCTGGTCAGACGGTGTCAGTCGTACAACTGCGAGGGTCACTGTGTCTGTGCCGTGCAGGACAGGACGTGCCACCACACACGCGGATGTACACAGCTGCTGGATGGTACGTCACAAGTGATGGCTCCACAGGGAGGATCTAACTCGGTTGCAATAACAATTACAGAATGTCAGTTCACAGCAAATATTGATCATTAATTATGATAAGAACCAGTAATCACTCGTGCATGGCGGTATATGTCACTGTTTATATCCTAGGTGGGTCAAAAAATGTTCTGGCTGTGACAGATGTCACTGACCTCCGCTTCACAACATCCGAGGACATTGACTACTCACCATCAGACACCTTCATGGCTGCCCGTTGGACGGTGCTGAAACAACAAGGGCTGCCTTTCACACAGTACAGTTTCTCTTATTACTTAATATCTAGAATATTTGTAAAGGTTGCTTGAAATAATTCATCGTTGTGACCACAGTGTGCCAGGTAGCTCAGCCAGTTTGTTGTTGCCTGCAGGTATGAGGTCAGTCTTGGAGACAGTGACAGCGACTACCCAACGGGTGTGTTTGACAGTCACTCCCACAGAGTCTGGTTCAGCGTCGGGCGGCAAACATCAGCTGTCATCCTTCTGGCACACGGTACTGACTCACCTACCTATCATCATGCGATCTTTACGTAGAAGTCTGCAAATTATGTAGTTCCATAAAGCGATCTTAGTGCTAAGACGATCCAATACTTGACCTTTGAACTACGGCAGTCTAAGCGCTAACTAAAAACGAAATGTTTCGTATCAAACTATGTGTTGTAGTATTCATTTACAAAGCAATGAAAGAGAAGGGATGTTTGTAATAGAGTATGAACTATAATGGACTATTCTGACTAACTGTCGTGCTTGTGACCAAGGCGAGGACCTCAGCAGCCGGCTTTGGTATTCCTTCTTTGTGAGAGGCTGGTATAATGCGACGACGTATAACATCTTCAAGTCAGATGGGGTCATGGTCGACACAGCCCCTCCCAAGACCACCGACAACCAGGCACTCGCAGTGAGTCAACACACATTGTGGTTTTGTTTTACATGTGGAACAAAGCAATTCCATGTTTATAATGTTGCAAGCATGTTGTAAGAATCTCATTGCTCTTCCTTAAATAAGGCAGATTTGATATTGTCACTCAAACATATTTGATAGAAAATACGGCTCCTCATTTGTTCACACGTAATGATAAGTTCGTTCGCCCACTAGTGACACATGTGACTCATAATCATGAATGATCTGAAGATATTATATGATTCATATGTGCGTTCCACTTAAATCTTAATAAGTTTGCTGCCCCTGGAAGATGGTAAAATAGGCTTGACTTCTAGGACAATATCTGGTGATCTTTTTGAGGACTTCCGGTGTTAATGCTTTCAGTCAATGGTTTGGTTGGTCCAGATTTGACCGATAACCGCCCATCACGGTATAGCTAAATATTTATGATTGTGGTTTTAAACGGCATTCACCTGCTCAGTCTCCAACACTATATGTTAATGATGCAGGTGATTGAGCTCAGTGATGACGATAGAGTCAAGGATGCAGACTTTCAGATGGCGACGGACACAGTCAGGGTCAGCTGGACCAACAAGTTCCTGCCGGGCGCCGCTGGGATTCTCAAGTACCAGGTCTACATCAGTACAAGCCCCGGGGGTGAGCGTTCTAAATTTCCCAACTCCCCCAACACATTACAGATCAGTATAAAGATGTACATGTGTCTCACCTGGAAGCTGATGTCCTAGGACCAACACATTACAGATCAATATTAAAGTGTGCATGTATCTAGCCTGGAAGCTGATGTCCTAGGACCAACACATCACAGATCAATATTAAAGTGTGCATGTATCTAACCTGGAAGCTGATGTCCTAGGACCAACACATCACAGATCAGTATAGAAGTGTGCATGTATCTAACCTGGAAGCTGATGTCCTAGGACCAACAAATTACAGATCAATATTAAAGTGTGCATGTATCTAGCCTGGAAGCTGATGTCCTAGGACCAACACATCACAGATCAATATAGAAGTTTGCATGTATCTAACCTGGAAACTGATGTCCTAGGACCAACACATTACAGATCAGTATAGAAGTGTGCATGTATCTAACCTGGAAGCTGATGTCCTAGGACCAACACATTACAGATCAATATAGAAGTGTGCATGTATCTAACCTGGAAACTGATGTCCTAGGACCAACACATTACAGATCAATATAGAAGTGTGCATGTATCTAACCTGGAAACTGATGTCCTAGGACCAACACATTACAGATCAGTATAGAAGTGTGCATGTATCTAACCTGGAAACTGATGTCCTAGGACCAACACATTACAGATCAATATAGAAGTGTGCATGTATCTAACCTGGAAGCTGATGTCCTAGGACCAACACATTACAGATCAGTATAGAAATGTGCATATATCTAACCTGGAAGCTGATGTCCTAGGACCAACACATCACAGATCAATATAGAAGTGTGCATGTATCTACCCTGGAAGCTGATGTCCTAGGACCGACACGTCACAGACCAATATAGAAGTGTGCATGTATCTAACCTGGAAGCTGATGTCCTAGGACCAACACATCACAGATCAGTATAGAAGTGTGCATGTATCTCACCTGGAAGCTGATGTCCTAGGACCAACACGTTACAGATCAGTATAGACGTGTGCATGTATCTCACCCGGAAGCTGATGTCTTAGGACCAACACATTACAAGTTAATATAGAAATGTGAGTGTATCTAACCTGGAAGCTGATGTCCTTGGACCAACAACTTACAAATCAATATTAAAGTGTGCATGTATCTAGCCTGGAAGCTGATGTCCTAGGACCAACAAATTACAGATCAATATTAAAGTGTGCATGTATCTAGCCTGGAAGCTGATGTCCTAGGACCAACACGTTACCGATCAATATAGAAGTGTGCATATATCTCACCCGGAAACTGATGTCTTAGGACCAACACATTACAGATCAGTATAGAAATGTGCATATATCTAACCTGGAAGCTGATTTCCTAGGACCAACACATTACAGATCAATATAGAAATGTGCATGTATCTCACCCGGAAACTGATGTCTTAGGACCAACACATTACAGATCAGTATAGAAGTGTGCATATATCTAACCTGGAAGCTGATTTCCTAGGACCAACACATTACAGATCAATATAGAAATGTGCATGTATCTCACCCGGAAACTGATGTCTTAGGACCAACACATTACAAGTTAATATAGAAATGTGAGTGTATCTAACCTGGAAGCTGATGTCCTTGGACCAACAACTTACAAATCAATATAGAAGTGAGCATGTGTCTTTCCTTGAAGCTGATGTCCTAGGACCAACACATTACAGATCAATATAGAAATATGCTTATATATTACCTGGAAGCTGATGTCCGAGGACCAACACATCACAGATCAGTATAGAAGTGTGCATGTATCTAACCTGGAAGCTGATGTCCTAGGACCAACAAATTACAGATCAATATTAAAGTGTGCATGTATCTAGCCTGGAAGTTGATGTCCTAGGACCAACACGTCACAAATCAATATAGAAGTGTGCATATATCTAACCTGGAAGCTGATGTCCTAGGACCAACACATCACAGATCAATATGGAAGTGTGCATATATCTAACCTGGAAGCTGATGTCCTAGGACCAACACATCACAGATCAATATAGAAGTGTGCATGTATCTACCCTGGAAGCTGATGTCCTAGGACCAACACGTCACAGATCAATATAGAAGTGTGCATGTATCTAACCTGGAAGCTGATGTCCTAGGACCAACACATCACAGATCAATATAGAAGTGTGCATGTATCTAACCTGGAAGCTGATGTCCTAGGACCGACACGTCACGGATCAATATAGGAGTGTGCATGTATCTAACCTGGAAGATGATGTCCTAGGACCAACACATTACAGATCAGTATAGAAATGTGCTTGAATCTAACCTGGAAGCTGATGTCCAAGGTAGCTAATATCCTACCCCGAACATTGATTCATTACTCACAACGACCAGCACAGCTTGTCCTTCTAAATACCTTGGAATTGATTGACCGGCGTTGACTTTACTTTCACTGACTTATGTGTTATTAATATTGTAATTATTGCTATTATTATTGATGTTGTTATTATTCGCTGTACATGGGAAATGAAAGGATGCAATAGCTGACAAATTATAAAGGATGGTTAGGTTCGCATAGGTTCGACTCCCACTTTGGGACAATATGTGAAACCCATTTCAGGTTCCCCCGCCGCAATATAGCTGACTATAACAAAACTCATTGACTGACTCAATAACTTCACTATTTCAGGACACAGTATCCACGCGTCAGATGACCTGACCACCACGAAGTACACAGCCAGGGGGCCTGAGTCTACAAGCAGCCACAGTGTACTACTCCAGTGTCCTGGCCTACAACAGAGCTGGCCTGGTCAGCTGGGCTCACTCTGACGGTGTCCGGGTGGACGTGCTGCCTCCTGTAGCGGGCAGAGTGGATGACGGACAAAGTATGTTCCCTTCTGCAGTATCAGCGCTTGAAGTGTTGTCTGTTGCTGTACGTCGCAATACCAGCTGTACCAGAGCGTCCTGTTTATTACTAAGTAATGGAATGTTGAGAGAAGGGTTGACGTCGATACGATTACACAGCAGCAACGCCAGTGCCCGACCACCCTCGCACATCTTAGAGCAGGTCCAGTAACCGATGATTGTTCAGGTTCGGTGACTTGGTTGATAATTTGTCGTTGGCGAGCATTGTTGCTCATAAAATCAATCCCCAGATCGTTTGGTCCTGATTTAATTATTAACAGACAATCGTCATACAGCAGGAATATTGTGGCGTTCCACATCGAACAAACAAACAATTTTCAATTGACCCGGGATCTCCACAGAGCTTAAAATAACTGGTGAGATGTGGTTACTTGACTTGTGTAGTTACCTCCTCTAACTGTCTCTAATACATCCCTGCAGACATGCACGACACGGACTACCAGAGTTCTCCATCAGAGGTCTCCGCCTCCTGGCACGGCTTCTCTGACACGGACTCCACGATCATCGCATACTTCTGGTGTGTGGGAAGGGTCAACGACACAACAGACTGCAGTGTGCTGGGCTGGCGGGAGACTGGGCTTCATACCACCTTCTCGGCACAACTTGCTTCCCCTCTCCCTAGCGGTATGTATCCTGATCAGATCCGTCTGGCCTAATCCAAGTACCAGCATGTACTGACACTTAATAAAGATAGCCCAGCTTAGCGTCACGCGCCGCCTCCTGATGGTTTCACTCATCATTCGTCCCAAACTTCCTGCGGAGGACTTGTCACCAAAGTAAATGTTCTGTAACAGCAAATTTTCAAAAGCAAGTGGCGAAACATAAACTGTCCCACAGTGAAACTAAACTGAATTGTTTGATTGGCATTACTTGACGGATGACAACGTAGACACAATTTATGAATAACAACTTCTTCGATACGGCAAAGGCGACGTTTCGGTATAGATCATTATATCATTGTCTTGTTTGACAACGGTATAGATCATTATATCATTGTCTTGCTTGACAACGGTATAGATCATTATATCATTGTCTTGCTTGACAACGGTATAGATCATTATATCATTGTCTTGCTTGACAACGGTATAGATCATTATATCATTGTCTTGCTTGACAACGGTATAGATCATTATATCATTGTCTTGCTTGACAACGGTATAGATCATTATATCATTGTCTTGCTTGACAACGGTATAGATCATTATATCATTGTCTTGCTTGACAACGGTATAAGGATCTGTAACGAAACATCGTCTTTACAGTATTAAAGAAGTTGTTGTTCATAAATTGTGTCTTCTTTGTGAAACTAATTATTGAAAATCCTGTAAAGGCTATGACGCTTGGTAATGTCCTAAGAGGCGCCTAACTATTCATTAAGGAAGCCTTCCAGAAACGCCTGATGACGGTATTCCCTTGTTTCTAGGTACACGCTTATGGAGCAAGGTGTATGCTGTAGATGCAGTGCGTCACGCCTCAGACGTAGCTGTATCGGACGGCGTTGTCGTCGACACATCTCCCCCAGAACCACAGTCCGTGGCATACCTAGGAGGCAACTTGGTGAAGAATCCTTCGTTTGAGATACAAAATAAACCTGTGAATTCATCGACGTGCAATGAACCTCTTCCCGAGCACTGGCAGACTAACAACTCTACATGCATACACATTGTTACATCTGAGCGTCCATCAGCTAGACATGGTAACAGCTATGTTGTAATCAGCGGATCTGTCCTCCAGAGAGATATACATCTCAGTGTGGGGCAAGTGTACAAAGTGAAGATTAATGTGGGATATACAGAGAACACGGACATACATCACAGCGTTATAGAAGGCTTCGTCTCAGTTGGTATTGAAGTGATCACATTCAGACTAGAGCCAAATCTATGCCGAGGGGTGTGTGATGTTGGGAGACATTATGTTATCATGTGGATTACACACACGTTTTCCTTCATTGCTCGGGAGGAATCCACACAACTTACTATTGGCACGAAGTCAAGGTCCATGGCGATGGCAGTTGATCACGTGACACTGCAGAGCGTCAAGTATGGTGGACATGACGAGGCTGGTGACACGGAGAAGCACGTGGAGGTGAACGCGGTGTTCCTGCTTCACTGGTCGTCTGTGCACGTGTCCTGGCACTTCAAGGACACCGAGTCCCCTATCACCATGTACCAGTGGGCAGTAGGTGAGTACCCAATCATGTAAGAGTGGGCGGTAGGTAAGTCCCCCATCACCATGTACCAGTGGGCAGTAGGTGAGTACCCAGTCATGTAAGAATGGGCAATAGGAAAGTCCGCCATCACCATGTGGGCAGTAGGTGAGTCGGCCATCATGTACCAGTGGACAGTAGGTGAGTCTCCTATCACCATGTACCAGTGGGCAGTAGGTGAGTCCCCCATCACCATGTACCAGTGGGCAGTAGGTGAGTCTCCTATCACCATGTACCAGTGGGCAGTAGGTGAGTCTCCTATCACCATGTACCAGTGGACAGTAGGTAAGTCCCTATCACCATGTACCAGTGGGCAGTAGGTAAGTCCCCATCACCATGTACCAGTGGGCAGTAGGTGAGTCCCCCATCACCATGTACCAGTGGACAGTAGGTGAGTCCCCCATCACCATGAACCAGTGGGCAGTAGGTGAGTCCCCCATCACCATGTACCAGTGGACAGTAGGTAAGTCCCCATCACCATGAACCAGTGGGCAGTAGGTGAGCCTCCTATCACCATGTACCAGTGGGCAGTACGTGAGTCTCCAATCATGTAAGAATGGGCAGTAGAAAAGTCCGCCATCACCATGTGGGCAGTAGGTGAGTCGGCCATCATGTACCAGTGGACAGTAGGTAAGTCCCCATCACCATGTACCAGTGGGCAGTAGGTGAGTACCAAATCATGTAAGAGGGGGCGGTAGGAAAGTACCCCATAACCATGTTCTAGTGGGCAGTCGGTAAGGGCTTGACTTGGGAGGATCTAGATTAAGAATGTATGAGATTATTTATACCACGGCGTATCCACATACTGTGGGCGAAAAGCCCCCATAACAAGGGATGCAGGCCTTAGACGTGTACCCCTTTGTGGAAATCAACACGCACGCGACACAACCATGATCATATCAGGGCTAATATGGTTGTTGAACGAGCTAGCACAGGATCGACTCACATGTGGGTATATTGAGCGTAGTAATAAAACTATATGTTTATTTAGACATGGAGAAATACAGAAACAAAACTGTTGATAGTCTAGTGTGACCTGAGCAGCATCCAAGCCTGTAAGTAATAACATCGACTCTCCATGCAGGTCTGGTGGAAGGCGGGACACAGGTGCAGGGCTTCACTAATGTTGGTAGAAACCCTCAAGGAACAGTTTCTGTCCAGAATCTCACTCACAACTCCAGACTGTATGTGTCAGTACTCGCCACTAACGCTGCCGGCCTGACGTTACTGACCAGAGCTGAACCAGTGACGGTGGACATGACGCCACCAACTATACAACAAGTCAACGATGGTTCAGGTAAAACTTTGAATTGAAACGTGTCTTGCATTAATACTGTTTGCCATTCCAAATACTCCTGCATACGTGTACATTCCAGCATGCCTATTCCTTTGCAATGACCATAGTGAATGAGTGGGTGAGTATGGTTTTACGCTGCTTTTAGCAATATTCCAGCAATATCACGGCGAGTGACACCAGAAATTGGCTTCACACATTGAATCCATGCTGGGAATCAAACCTGGGTCTTCGGCATGGCGAGCGAACGCTTTAACCACAAGGCTACCCGACCGCCCTATTTTGTGATAGAATCCATTGCTCCCTTGCTCCATAGCTATATGATCACACAGCTGTAATGCTCCATTGCTATATAATCACACATGTATAATGCTCCATTGCTAAATGATCATCCAGCTATAATGCTCCATTGCTATATGATCACACATGTATAATGCTCCATTGCTATATGATCACACAGCTCTAATGCCCCATTGCTATATGATGACACAGCTATAATGCTCTATTGCTATATGATCACCCAGTTGTAATGCTCTTCTTCTAGGAGTTGATGCAGACTTCCTTTCACCAGAGGACATGGCAGCGAACTGGGCTGTGGAAGATCAGGAATCGGCTTCTATCAACTGTGACATTGCTATAGGTAAGGAACAGACATATTTATACAACATGCTTGTTGTCATAATCGATTAGAAAAATACATTAATCAACGAAAAGGTAAATTCGTGTAGAAACTGCATAAGCTGATGTTGTTTCAACATATCTTTGTGTATCCCAACGGAACTTCATTTTCAATATCGTCTGACTGAATAGCTTTTATATCTTCTGCAGGGCACACGCCTGGAGATGACGACGTCCGTCGGTTTGCTCGAACTAATCCCGGAGTTAGATTTACCAGGTGGAATCTGACTGATATAGTGACGTCATCTAGTTTGAAGGTGTACACGACAGTACGTTGCCATAACAACGCGGGGCAGACCTCCGAGTCCTCATCTGATGGTGTCGTCATCGTGTCCAGGGGAGACGTTGCGACTGTAGCTGGCTTCAAGGTCCTGGAGGAAAGCCCCTCTGAGTTCTCAGACAGAGGCCAGTGTCATGTAGCCCGAGACACTGTGAGACTTCGCTGGGAGGGAGGAGAAACCCAGACTCCTTACACTACGCTGGTATGTCGACTCCAGTTGACGTCTTCAACGTAGAAACTTGCTCTAGTCACAACTACCATGTGTGAAGCTGGTGCTTGGTTATATTGCTGTGAAATCACACACACACACAGATTTTGTAACATTCTTACATATTTGTTTTGTGTTTTTTTAATTAAACATATAGGTTCACATCGAGGGTAGCAGTTTGATCTACGAACAGATCGTCCCGAGTATATTCACATACACATCTGCCAAGCTGTGTGGATTGAAGCTCAGCGATCTGACAACCTACAACATCAGTGCCATGCATGTGCTGGACAAGGCAGGGTACCCGACAGAAGCTTCTATCACCACGCATGGACCGCCACCAAGTCTAAACAGTAAGATAGCTCAACAGTTATCGTAAATACAGCAAATTCGTAAATACAAATTTAAATGCAACAAAATTCAATGTTATGTTGTATCTGTTTCCTGACAGTGATGTCTGGTTTACTTCAGAAGCAGCGAAGATCTCGTCTAGGACGTCCGACAGGACGACCACTCTGTCCTGGCCTGGCCTGTTTACCTCCCCCTGGGGCCAGCTTGTGTATGAAGTGATGGTGGGCAGGGTGGAGGGTGGGGCAGATGTGGTGGACGGGCTGCTGACACGCGAGGAGCAGATGAAGCTGAACCTGTCCTCGCATCCACAAACTGTCACTGCCGTATATGTCTCTATAACAGCCATTGATGCGTGTGGATACACTGCTTACTACTCACAGGCTGTGGGTGTCGGCCCGTGACTCCAACTGGTTCGTTGAAGTGTAAATCGTGATTAAATATTGTTTTCTAATTTTGACAGTGTAATTGTTCCCATCCGTACATGCTCACACACTCATCAGTCAATTTGATCATCATGACCAATTTTGAAATTATATTTATGATCAAGTTTTTTTGTCATTACACAAATATGATATTTTGTAATAGTTGTTGCTAATGTCCTGATCCCAAAACTGTATCCAGTGCTTTCTGAAAATCCTCAAAAGAACAACATAATTACTTTCTCCTTCCTTTTAATAACTCCCCCCTATTTTTAAAGATTGATTTAACAACACCTACGTAACATTTGTTCTTGGAATATGCAAGTACCAAGAACCATGTTACAAAGTTTGACATAAATATCTTTAAAGACATCAATGGTGGTTAAACAGATACATTAATTAGTCTATCAATACCAGCATCTATGTCCTTTTTTTCAAATTCACAGTTTTGGAATTTTACATTTTGTAATAGCTGCATTAAGTAGTGTGCTTTCTCAATGTTTACGTCATGTAGATTATCTATATCAAAGTCATCTTCTGCCGAAACTGCTTTTAAAGTCATAGGAAAGTTGAGTACAGATTCAACCTGTGAGAGTAAGGATACGCTGAGAAGGAATAAACCAAGGTTAACAATCTCATTATCTGTTGGCCGTGATCAAAGATATTTATGCTAAATATATAACAATAACCAATAACCATGCTTCATTATTATAATGTGTTGTTTATTTGTCATTCTTGTACCCAATAAATTATAATCATATATTTTGCTTCTTTGTGTGGGTTCATCCATATAATTACGAATTCGGATGTAGCAGCTAGGGGGTTAGCTGTGCACACAACTGTGAACTTTGTTATAAGCTGTTGGAGTTTGGGGAGGATCCCACATGAGTAATTAACAGACAAGTGCAAGTGCTTATCCCCACCCGACACTAACTACCCTGCTAACTCCTAATCCACAATGAGACGACATTGAGTTCATATCGCCAGTGTACTAGGAGATAACTAGCAAACCTGTTAAGTGGAAATTTTGTCCAGGGCCAACGTGCACAAAGCGATCTTAGCACTGCGGCTATTGTACGACTGTTAAAGTATTGAGTTATGAACATCTTAGCACTAAGACTGCTTTGTGCAAGTGGGCCCAGGTCCCTTGATTTTCTATTAATCTGTTATTCTCAATACTGAAAGGCCATGGGCCACAGTACATGTATTATAGGATACTAGCGCAGAGAGTGCACAAACAAATTACTTCCTAATTGACATGCCATGATAAATAAGCCTGATAAGTTACGAACGACATTTGTCTTGACTGATTACATCAAAAAAAAAATTTGTACTTTGGGATGAACCAAATAAAACCGTTTTATGTATGTTTTTCTCATGTTATTATGTTTAGTACGTGCCAATAACATGTGATATTCATCCACCACTGAATCTGAATTCGTTGCGTACACAAACTTTTATATATTGGTATATTATTGTACCTCCCCAGTGCACGAAGCATCAACCAGTGTGAACTACATCTGAATTGTGACAGTGATGTCCTAAACTTCCTCAGGTTCAAATACATTGAATAGCTTTCAGTAGGTAATAATGATGTGTATAACTTATTGAAGCAACATTTACATCATGGATCAACAATAAGAAGTCCACTGCTGGATGTACATATCCACAATAGTTTTGTCTTAGTGACATTAAAACAAAGGTTTTGATTGTTTGTGACACATTAATTATACCATACATGACAGTAACCACATTTATAGAGGAAGATCTTCACATCAAACTGAGTGTTTCAGAGTGTGTCTGAATACGCCCTTTCATGATTACGTTTTACCTGCTCGGCAAGTTCATTAATAAAGAATGAGAAGAGAAAAGGGCTTAACACACAGCCTTAACGCAACACTCCAGACTCACAAGTATAAGTCTCTGAATATATATACCATTGTCTTATATTTTGATAGATATTACATAATAATTTTCCCATTTTGTGAATTTGAGAACGAAAAATAAACCATAATTAACTTCTACATACCGAATCAAATGCTATGCCTCTGTAATCAACATCATTTGTTTGTCCTTTTTGTATATATGGCTGTGTTAAACCAATCTTCCTGAGGCAAAGCATTAACTGACAATAAAAGTCCAGTTTCCACCCTTGCTACCCTGGGCTCGATTGTTCTGCCACCTGTGGCTATTACGTGTTATATCGCTTCTGTACCTCTCCTTTGGACCAATCGGATTCTTACTCTCCTATCACTTGCATTTGCTTCAAACAAAATGGCGGTACCCAGTCAAGACGATCTGATCGATAATCAAGATCTATATTGTGAGTCATACATCGCGAAGTGCATCAAATCAATTGAACACATTGATTAAAAACCTGAGTTAATGAGTGAGTGAGTATGGTTATATGCCGCTTTTAGCAATATTGCAGCAACATCACTGCGGGGGACACCTGAAATTAGCTTCACACATTGTACCTATGTCGGGAATCGAACCCGAGTCTTCAGCGTGACGAGCGAATGCTTTAACCACTAGGCTACCCGTAAAAACCTACCCGTGAAAATATTAAGAAAATATCTGTTGACAACGAGCTGGAGGTGCACATGCTTTGCAAATCCTGCAATCGACTGAAATCTGCAGAACAGTTTAAGAACCGGATTTCGATTTTGTTGTACGATTTTGATTGGACAATGCTAAGACTCGTTTATCCAGCCAAAATGTAACTCCTTACTACCAGCCTAGTTCGACAAGATTGAAAACTGGACTCTCATTGTCAGTTAACTCTCTTGCCTCGGGAAGATGTGTTCAACCAGAAACAAACAAACGTACAGGAATAATTACACCACGTGTCCATTCTTTTGGAAAATACGATGTTTCCAGTATTGAATTGAAAAAGTCTCCAAATAGGGAAATAAGATGTCATGAGAAGATTTAAAGCATTTTGATATCAATTCATTGTTTCCTGAACTTATATTGTTTTTCAAATCATGAATAGTGTTGTTACTGCGTTTTGAGGTTAACCGAGCCCTACTACAGTTTCCTAATTTATTGTTGTTCCGTTTCGTCACAGGTAAGGTAAACCATGACTTAGCAACTCGCTTGGTCAGAATCGGGTCATCTTAGTCAAGGAGTGATTGGTCTAACGAATCTTACTCCGAACTGTCTCTTTCTGCATTCATGTGCTGGCCCTTGCACTTACCAGGAATAAACACAACACGCGGGTTATACGGTACATACTCCCCCGTCAACAGAAGGCACGACCCGGGCCACATAGTATGGTACTGAGGCTTATTTTGCTCAAATTTAATATGAACGTGCTCAGCCCCACGTTGGGCGCCAATGTAGCGGCCATAACATTTCCGAGTCCCGTGATGGGATTCGAACCACGGACCTTCTGATCCGAGGTCCCTGCTACACTCATAATTTTTTAATAACGCTCCAGTCCATCTTCAAAAACAACGTCTACATAAGACAGGCTAAACTCTTCATAGACTTGACAAACAGTGGTATCGATCTGTCTCAGTCACTGCCAAAACCACGCACCACTAATAGTGCTGAAAGTATGTTTTTAAAGGGGTCGAGTCTAACCTTTCTTAGTCACATGTAACAATGCCTCAGTTTGATTCGTTAAAAGTTTAGATCTGACCATGAACTCAAGTGTGTCATAATCGGAAAAATGTCGAAGCCTACGTGCCAGATTGAGCATCTCTCTATTGATTTTGTAATTCACTTGCTGACTCTACAAATGATAAGTATCTTACCTCATTCATGATTTAATAAGTACTCGACGATAATGTGGAACCAATCCAATGATAAATAAGAAATGTCCAGAAACATTCTGATAATAAATGTGAAATGTCATTTTTCTATTAATTTCTTTCCTAGCTAATAGTTCCGTCACGAACTTTGCATACCTAATGCAACCACATCATTGCAGCTATGAACAGATAAATTTGTTACACTTTTGTTACCAATTTCTAATGTTTTTGAGACGCATTTTAACCTTATAACAATAGCAGAGAATATTTCTTTTCTCTTCTTCCGATGTCTCGCTCATACCACCAATTTCACCCGATGCCATAAACGGAATGCATTCAAGTTCAGTACTGCAGTTTTACTTTAAGTCCTGACATATTTCAAAATATATAATCCACATCATTTTATCACTGCTGTGATTATGATATCTCTTGAGCTCCGACCACATCCCTGTCTGTCCCTGTCCTTTCCCTAAGACAACCTCACCCCTCACCTTGTTGGATTCACTTGTACATGAAGCATACGTATAATGCTTCGGAGCGATGTCTATTCGGATTCTCATTTTTACACTTTCTCATGTCTTGTCTCCGTGTCCTGATAAACCAAGAGCAGTTATTGCATGACTGATTGAATGGGATGATATGATGAACACTCTTAGTTTACCAGTGTCAATAGGTTGATATTGTTATTTTCTCTGGTAGAGTTAATTACTTTTTCTACTTGCATATAGTGTAGGATTCATTTGTCCCTTCTGGGATACTATAGATGATGATGTTATTCCTTCTACTCCGTCTTTCTAAGTCCTCTACACGGTTTCCCAGCTCAGTGAATTCTATCATAAGATCATCCACTTTTTCCGAACTGCATCAACATCCAATCGGATTATATTCTGTTTTTCCCTTGTGGTATACATTTGCTTTTGTAAGGCTGTGACGTCACACCTGTATCATCTCTCATAGAACCTGTGTCATTTCCTAACGTTTCCTTCCTTTAATTGCTGGATATCGGAACTCTGCATGCCTGGCAAGTCTGTACTCAATGGGCCTTGGTTAAGTGCTGCGTCACCAGCTCGGAATATACGGCGTGTAATGATACATCGTCATTGTAGCTGTCCGGTTTCCGATATGTAAACCTGTAATCAGTGACACACAAACTTATCTCAACATCCGGGAGGTGTATATTGGTAACTCTGTCTTGTATATACTGCATGTTGTAAGCAATAGACAATAGAGCGGGATAATCTGAGCAGTATTACTGTACAAAGTGGAAGCAGGTAAGCCAGGACTGTACCCTTCGTCCATGTTGAGTGTAGGGTTGAACATTTTCAATCTGCCCTCGGGGGTGAATGAAACAGCCGATCCTTGGTCTCCAGATGATGACCGATACACCCATTTTCACTGGGAGGGAACGTTTTGTACTCAAAGTAGACAATTTTATGTACGACAACTTCTTTATTTACTGTAAAGGCGACGTGTCGGTAAAGATTCTTATACCTTTGTCAAGCAAGGCTGGATAATGAACATGATAGAACATTAACAGAAACAATAATTGCATACATGCGGATTCGAACCCTAGATCATAGGTTTCTTGCGTGCCCAAGGGACGCAACTCTGCACAACGAATTGCGGCGCTTTAGATGACCGGGCCACATCAACGATCCAGTACTTTCGGTTACTTCAACAACATATGTTCACGTATTTATGTCTAATAGCAGGTCAGACTCGATTATTTACAGACCGTCGTCATATAGCTGGAATATTGCTGGCACGGGACATCAGTCAGCTCCAACTCGGTTATCCAGTCAACGTGAATCTGACCTCTATGGACAAGATATATTCTCGGGTAAATATATTGTGTACATGAAACAAGGTTGCATTTGTGTTCTTCAAGAGGCAAGTGGTATGCATAATCCATAGTATGAAGTTCAAATCATATCTGAATAGGTGACTGTACATGTACTGTGGGGCTGAGAGTGATCCTCCAGAATGAAGTACTGTCGTGAAGGTCTACCTGGATCATCAGGGGGTTCTGACTCCCTCGGGTGTCGCCTTTCCAAGTTTGGTGTAAGGTTCTTGTTCTTCCTCAGCGGAGCGTTTCCCTTCCAGTTTGTTGTATGTGTCTTCTGGTTTCTCAAGGGCGAAATAATCAGCTGCTGTACCGTTGTTTCCAGCTGGCTCATTGTCTTCACTGTCATCTACCATTGATCCCAATTTGTTGTATGTCCCCTGCACATCAGTTGTAGTCTCAGTAGCACCCTCTCTGACCAGTCTGTTGTATGTACCCTGCACATCAGTTGTAGTTTCAGTAGCGCCCTCTCTGCCCAGTCTGTTGTATGTGCCCTGCACATCAGTTCCCGTCTCAGTAGCGCCCTCTCTGCCCAGTCTGTTGTATGTGCCCTGCACATCAGTTCCTGTCTCAGTAGCGCCACCTCTGCCCAGCCTGTTGTATGTGCCCTGCACATCACTTCCTGTCTCAGTAGCGCCATCTCTGACCAATTTGTTATAGTCGCCGTCTGTCGGGTCATCCTTCTCCTGGGAATACACAGCTGCCCCAATCATGTCATCTGTTATGTCCGTATAGTCTCCCTGGTCGCAGGCAGAAGGATCCACCTCCAGCTGGTTGTCTTCTCCCTCTTTGATGACGTCATACACATCTGACGGGGCACTGGACGCTTGTTGTACAGCTGAAACCTTAATGAGATCCGGGACTTGGGATGTCACCTCATTTTTACCACGTGGGGATTTACCACTGGAACTGGTGGTGTGAATCTTAAAAGAAGCATAATTATGGCTTGTCAGTTTTACATAGTTTCACTTTTATGACCTGTTTACACGTGACATCGTACTGAATGACTACAGTTAGCTTGTTAACGATTAATTAACGTGCATTTGTGATACCCGGTAATAGTTGTGGTCAGAATATACACCTTGAACATCAATAATATATTGACCGTAATATACCGAAAAATATGCTGAAATTACCAGCCTAATTGGCGTTGTCATTAAATTAGCCCTATTCGTAAAACAACACACTAATACCTATATGAATTCGAAACTATTATTCCATTATTGCAACACTGAACAGTTGGCTACATGTACCTAGTTGGGAGAAGTGTTAAGTCTATTTCGAAACAGTATTTAGAAGAGACACTGATAAATACATGTGTTATTTCTACTATTGAAATAACCCAATACTAATCAATCTATCAACTAGTACATATTTTGCAATTGCTTCCACCTATCAGAAGTGTATCACACATAAAAGAGTTTGGATAAGATTGAAATATGACAGCAATAAACAATTTACCAATCCCAGATAGGTGTGGGATTCCTTCGTCCCTGCTCCGTCTTCATCTTCTGTATGTCTATAAATATTTAAGAAATAAGGGTGAAGTGGAAGTTCATCATGTGCTAGTGATATTGTCTGACACTAATTTACAAACAACTTGATTCCCCTCAGTTTTCTGTAAATAATAACGACGTCCGATATGAGGATCATAATAACGTTCTTTATGTCTTAATGTCTTTATGATTAGACAATGTTACAATAGATAATTTGATGATGCACGTTGACAATTTCACACATATTAAACACTTTATAATCATTTACTCGACTAATGCGTCATGGCGTCAGGAATAGCTTGACGTACCTTCTTCTTAAGCGACATGCACGACAAAGGAATACGATGACAACCGTGATGATGACGCCCCCAAAGAGTCCTCCAACGACTCCTCCAACGAGCACTCCGATCTGAGATCCGTCTTGTTTATCTACGTGAAACCGTATGCAATGATTATGACAATAAGTTTTTCAATTGAAAATTAATTGATATAAATACACATTGCCTGATATTAATTATGTATTATTCTATTTAATTTCTCAAAACCATTAGTTCACTGTTGTTTGAACAGAACCGTTCCTGCAACAGCCGTATCAGTGGTTGTACCAGAGGCTGTTTTGCCGCTGGATAGACCAGGGGTTGGAGTATCTGTGCCGGATGCAGGGGATGCAGTACCAGTAAGTGTGTCGGATGTTGTCTTGCCACTCGCTGGACCTGGGGTAGGTGTGTCAGTTTGTGTGCCAGATGCTGTAGTATCAGTAGTTTTTGTGGAGGCTGCAGTGTCGCTGGCTGGACCAGATGATGCAGCAATGGTGGGTTCGCTGCTAATAGTAGTAGTAGTACTTGTGATTGTGTCAGAGGTTGTGGTACCATTTGTCAAAGTAGTGGTTGGTGGTGTGCCTAGTATTAAAGAGAGTAAAACGTTTGAAACTGTAATATTTATAATTGAAACACAGTAGTATTAAACTAGCTAGAGTATAATATTATGACAGGCCAACAGATGTCCGGTCTTGTAATGTGATTAGTTGCAGGTAAGCGCAATCACGTGCTGTTATGTAACATGTGACAGTCTTGAAAAAAACAGCCGGTCAAGTGGCAGGCTCGTCTCCCTACTCCCTCGTTTGTCGTTCTCCCTGAGAACCCAACAGAAGAAACATGGCCTAATGTCTCTGCTACTGTTTTTATCCTTTGGCGCTCGGATTTGCTGTGCAGAGCTCCGTCCCTTGGGTACGCCAGAAATCTATGACCGCAGTTTCGACCCCCGTATCGCCTCGATTATGTTTCTAGGTTTGTCAGGACAATAACCGTACTTCGGCCTTTCCTCCCACATTAACCTGACACGTCGTGATATATGGCATTGTCATTTAGTTTTTCAAAATTCGATGATTTCCTAAGGAACATTTTCGATCCGTTTAGTGGCAATCAGTTGACTAATTCTAACACTACGGGTCACTTGGACAGAAGAAGAGCCTGCCATACATGCACATTGAAAATTATGACGAATGTATAAACAGTAAAAATGATAAACGATGACATCCTTAACTCTATTCACGTCATAAACGGTGACAAAAACCGATAACATAATTTACCAGGAACAGGATGCAAGGGCCGTGCTGGAACAATTGTGAACACATACTTTGGCCATGTGTCTGCGCAAGCCAGACGTTCTTGTGTTTCAGTGTATGAAACGGATGGTTACACACCTGTGTCTGATTTACCCAATCAAGAGAGGCTCTAAATATGTATACATTAACTTGAAGATGAACACACAATACCACTTAGAAAGTGGTCAAAAGAAATAAATGTTATATTTGGGATAATACTTTTTAGTAAGGTACAGATTCTAGAACTTATTTGGGTTGAATATGTTTGCATCAGCAGCCCCGTATGAACCTCGCAAGTTCATTTAACTATGTACATTGCTTGTATACATGTACATCAGAGATGTGAAATATTTCCTGGTAAAATGAACATTCATTTGTCATTCAATTCCTCAAACTAACTGTTCTGTACTTACAATTCTTGGATTCCACCTTGCAGGTACATCTGCAAAACATGTACGACGATGGTAAATTTATTATATTTTATGTATGGAACGTTCATGTTTGTGAAATTCGTATTCAGCTTTATAATCCACTACATAGTTCAAGATAAGGTTTCCAGGATGTTCTATATTTGATGTTTATTAATTTCATGTTTCAAATTACGGTGCTATATCGAGCTGGAGGAAATCTTATACATACATATGATAAATGAATAAAATAAAAACCCAACTAAAATTACTACAAGGTTTTTTTCAGGAGAATTTTTCAGTGATATTGCTGAAATGTTGCTAAAGCGGCGTAGAACAATTGTCACTCACTCACTCTCTCACTCGAACGAGATATGGGCGGCGTGCACACACAAATCAGTGACGGCACGATTAATAAATTGGGGTGTATAACGTTGAATTGTAATACTATGTCGTTGAGATAATATGTTTCATCATTAAGTGTGTAATTAGAATATGTCTTTGTGAGAGTATACACAACTACTTAGGGTAAACACATCAAATTCAAAGCTGATCTTTAACCATTGATGAAATCTTCTACACTGTAATATATTAATAAAATCAACAGTCATATTAGTGAGTGAGTGAGTATGGTTTTACGCCGCTTTTAGCAATATTCCAGCAATATCACGGCGGGGGACACCAGAAATGGGCTTCACACATTGTACCCATGTCGGGAATCGAACCCGGGTCTTCGGCGTGACGAGCGAATGCTTTAACCACTAGGCTACCCGACCGCCCCAACAGTCATATTAACTCGTGTGGTCAACATGTGTAAGTTGAAGGCTATAACAAAGGAAAACAGTAGGGTCTGTGTTATCAGTCAATTAGTCCAAATGTGTCACTGGCAACTACATGTATATATACTCTACATAAAACGAAACGCAAAAGTGATTTTTGATGGACAGATGGTTATCGATTGCTTCAAATTGGCACACATTATTATCATTGACCCAGGTTTCATGTGGCACACATGGAACAGTAGATTTTCATGGTGAAGGTCATTTGTTCTCAATATCTGGCCACCATTAGAGTCCAAAACTGACTGGCTTCGTCGTCCTATGGAAGCAATCAGAAACTGTGGCCTGGGGAATGTTCCCCCACTCTGCCTGCAGTGCTTCTGTCAACAGCCGGAGGCTCTGTGGTTGTTGCTGGCGTGCTCGCTGTCGTTGATGTAGCGCGTCCAATAAATGCTTCATAGGGTCTCAATCATGAAGACCATGGCAGGACCTGGATGTTGTGATTTCTGAAAAAGACGCTCGCTTGTTGGATAATGGTAGGAGCGTGGGCGAGGAATCTCATTCGTGTAGCTTTGTGTCAGTAGATTTCCTTGCACTTCCACGATGTCAGTTCTACCAGTGTAGGAGATGGCTGCCCACATCATCACACTACCACCACCAGATTTGTCCACGTCCTGTATGCAGTTTCATGTAAAACGTTCCCCACAACGCCTGTAAACACGTCGTCTACCATCCGCACGGCGCAGCATAAAACGTGACTCGTCACTATCCAAAACTTGTCTCCATCACACTTGACACGATTGACGTCGCAGCCGACGATGAAGGTCCGTGAAAATGACAACTTGAACTAGCGAGAATATCTTCAGCGTTGCAACGGTTCCTCACTGCCTTGGCTGATATCCTACGCAATCCTGGTATTGACGTCGAGGTGCCCTATTGTAGAGGTGGCGGTGGTGGCTCTTTCACGTTATTAAGTGACGTAGCCATATGAATCTTTCATGGGCTCTAGTAGTGATACGTGGTCGACCGGATCTTGAAAGGTACCGTGTTGTCCCGTGTGTCTGTGTCTCCCGTGAATGGCCCCACAGCCTTATAATGGTGCTTGGTACTACGTGGCTACATCTGGCGATGATTTTCCTTTTTACAGTCGGCCGATGACGTTGTTGCGTTGGGCTTCCGTCAGTCAGGGTATGTTTTCACTGTTCACTTGATGTAAGATTGTGATGGCATGTAAATGAAAACCCAACGTTTTTATAGACTAACAAGTGATGTAGCACGTGCATGTCACATAGGAGTGTTTCGGCGCCATGCTCTAACGTGTTTGTGTTTTTGTGATATTTTACCAAATTACTGCAGTACCTCATTCTTTCTACACAAACCAAACCCAATCCAGAAATGATGATTTCTTTTCGGTATTAGTTATATATTAATGTGGGCTAAACTTTGCGTTCCTTTTTTTGCAGGGTATATAACTTTTCAAGAGGATGAAATATCGAATATTTGTTCTTCTTGAGGGGACGAAATTATTATCGAGCAAAATGAATTGTCCTACAAACTGCTTGAAAAACAACAGTTATGCTTCAGACTGTTTGAAAACAGATTGCCTGCAACATTAAATACATTGTTGCAAGAAGCTTTTAAGAACAAAATCTTTGTATATAAAATAAATTAGAGAAATATCCAGCCTTCAGACGAAATCCTGGCGCCCCCAGAAATAGTTTATACAGTTGACTAACTTGTCAGTAGACTTTACCAATCGTTTAGTATTGTTTTAATAGATGGCCTATTGTCACTATCGAAGAAGGGTTAAGTAGCAGCTTAGATAGGAGAGGAGGGGGTGTCGCATTCATATTGAGTCGCATTTGTGGCTAGGGGCCAGCGGTCGCATTCAGCGGAGACGCATTAATTCCACGTTTTACAGTACTTACATTGTCAGATTCCTGTATGAGAGAAATACAATTATGCATACAGCAAAAACACATTGCTGAATACAAAGATTTTTGTACCTTGGTAGGATTCGAACCTGCAACCTTGATTTGTAGTCCGTAACGCTACCACCTGTGCTACGGAGATTTTTGTCGTCACAACTGTCAATTTTCGTAATAACCATTAGCTTGGCGTATTTGTACATTATTAAGTGATGGGTATGTGTTATGCAAGGGCCTGTGAATATGATTTGCACATCTAATTACAATATATATTATACATCTCATTCATATTAGACTTATTGTCTGAAGATATGCACTTTGATAAACATGTTTAAAGGTATTTAAATTCTAAACTTGTTTGGATTATCAGGATGTTTCGTTTAAGTGGTGTTTAGGCTGTGAGGCGATAGCTTTTTCATATGTTAGGACCTATGTGTGTTTACATTCCTAACACATTTCTACAGTGTGAATTATACTAATCTAATATGTGATATCTTCAGCATCTTCGTGTAATCTACCAGGCAGGATAGTAAATACGTTGTTTAGACTTGCATCATATGACCTCGGGTTCTTGTTGTTTTTTGCATGTGTTTATGCGAACACCTGGTATCATTTGATATTAGATAGTGATTCATAAACACATGCTTCTGCTATAGAGATTTGTTTTAAGTAAGTAGAATTCCTAGGACATTTTGTGCAGTGTAGAAACATCTACAGGTTTTTTAATGTACCCTATAATGTCCGGGTCTGTCTTCTTCTGTTGAGGTAGAGTACAAGACGGCAATTCACCTGAAATTTAATATTCGTGTTAAACCATATCTAAGTATGTCAGAGAAAAAATAAACATACATTATGACAAACTATGTTTGGAAATCATAAAAATAACTTTGCGGAAATTACTCGTTCACATTACCTGGGCCAATGCATGTTCTGTTCAACTGATTCCCATCTTTAAATCTGGAAACATATTCAAAATCACATATTTAACATGTAAAACATGTGTAACACACACTTATCTTAACGGTACTACGAGGGGCGTTCAATAAGTTTTACAAAAACAATGTCCATTTGTGGCAGGTGTGACACTAGTCATAACATCAGGTTGACACGTGTCATAACAAGTTCTAGACACAACAATAAGTTAGATCTGATGGCTTCATTCACCTAAGGGTGGTCACAGTCATGGATTCTCTCAAACATGAACAACGCGCTGTAATAAAGTTCCTCACCAAGGAGGGATGAAAAGCAAAAGGAATCCATGATCGCATGTCTAATGATGGGTAAGGATGCTCCTGACTATTCCACAGTTTGCCGTAGGTCTCTACAGTTAAAGAGGGGTAGGGAGTCAATAGACGATGACCCAAGGTCAGGCAGGCATTCAGATGGCACCCAACCGGAAACCATTGCTGCTATAGAAAGAAGAATTTTGTCTGACAGACAGGTGAAAGTATCTGAACTTTCTAGGGAATTCCAAATATCAGTTGGAACTGTTGGAACCATTATTCGTGAGCATCTTGGTATGTCCAAGGTATTTGCAAGAAACATGAATCCACCACTGGGAATCCATGCAATGGAAGCATCCATTCCGAGGAAGTTTCGCACTCAACCATCGGCTGGCAAGGCAATGGCCACCATATTTTGGGATGCAAGGAACACATTACTGATTGATTACATGCCACCAAAAACTACAATAAATGGACAGTATTATTCTAATGTAATGAAAGAATTGCGACAATGTATTCGCCCGAGACGCCGTGGGATGTTAACACGTGGTTTTCTACATTTGCATGACAACGCTCCGGTTCACAAGTCGTAAATGCACAGGCCGCCATATGTGAATGTGGATTCGAACAGTTAAATCACCCACCCTACAGCCCAGACTTAGACCCAAGTGACTATTTCCTGTTCTGGCAAATGAAATCTGCCCTACTTGGAAGACTCCTCCAGGATGACGAGGACATAAAGGCTGCCACAGAGGCGTGGTTAGAGGGCCAATCTGCAGATCTCTAATCTGGGCGGCAAAAGAAAGTATAGGTCGAGTTCCATGATCGATAAAAAAATAACAAGAAGAGGTTTTGTTGTGAATTATAATATAATCTAGGGATGGGTAACAAATGATTAATCAACTACTATTTGAATGAAATTGTGTAATCACAGGTAATGTAAGCTCAAGGTAAACAATGGTGGGGTAAGAAACTTCATTTTTCAAAGTTGTCTGAAATGTCACCAAAAAATTGTCAGACACACTACAAGTTCATTGTCGACACAGTTGCCTTCAGTAGCGTGTATGACCTCCATCTGCCTTAATGCATGCTGTGATACGCCGCCTCATCGATGACGTCAGTCTTCTGATCTCCACAAATACCGCCCCACACCATGACACCGCCCCCGCCGAATGAATGGACCTCTCGAATACAAGCCGGAGCCAAACGTTCCCCTTTGCGTCGATAAACTCGTTCTCTTTCATCAGTAAACAGCACTCGATGCCAATTTCTCACTGGCCAGCGTCGAACCTGCCTCGCCCATCGCAGTCTCAGGCGTCGATGTTGAGCAGTCAGTACCATTCCTCGGAAAGGACGATACGCTCGGATTCCAGCACAACGAAGTCGTCGTAGTACTGTACGTTGGCTAATGGGATGTCCCAACGCTGTTGCTGCCGTCGCCGTTGCCGATACGAATCTGTTTTGCAGGTTAATGAGCCGTATCTGACCGTCTTCCAGTGGTGTTGTCACTCGGGGTCGTCCGGTTCCAGGCCTATCCTGTGTCCTCCCTGTCTGCCTGTACCGTTGAATCAGCCTGGCTACTGTCAACTGTGTACAACCAAACCTTCTGGAAATTTGGACCTGTGTTGCCCCCATTTCGGCCATACCGATGGCTCTCTCTGCTCCTGTGACAGTCGTGGCATTTCTTTTGTGTGCTTTCATCACGTGTGGTTATACGCTGCAGACGACGCATTTATACAGCTAACATGCACGTGCAGCTTATGCCATAGGCGGGAAACCTGTGTCACCATTTTTTTGTCACCGCACGAGCGCCATCAAAGATGGCGCGTTCGGGTGAGGTGATTTTGGTACCTGTTCCTGGGCAGTCATATTCCAAATACCCGCTTTCCACTAGTTATCACTGCTTTTAGGAAAATTACAAATTGCCAACCTATACTGTCTTTTGCCGCTTAGTTTCTAAAAGTGGTATTAAAAGCTTGAAGGACAAATGGAATAAGTGTGTATGGGGGGGGGGGAGGGGGGGAGGGGGGGGGGGGCGAGGAGGGGGAGAGTGAGTTGGTAAGTGGCTGGGCGGTTTGGTGAGTGGCTGGGGGGTGAGTGGGTGAGGAGGCGGCTGGGCGGTTTGGTGAGTTGGAAGATGTGTGTGTGTGTGGGGGGGGGGGGGGGGGGGGGGGGAGCGAGTGGCTGGGCGGTTTGGTGAGTGGTTAAGTGTGTGGGGGAGGGGGGGTGAGCGAGTGGGATAGATGTGGGGTGAGAGAGTAGGTGAGGGGGGCGTCTTGTCGGTTTGGTGAGTTGGTAAGTGGGTGGTTGAGTGAGTGGGTTAGTGGGTGGGGGAGCGGGGCAGCTTGGCGGTTTGGTGAGTGGGTAAGTTGGGGGTTTGGGGGTGGGTGAGTGGGGCGGCTGGGCGGTTTGGTGAATGGGTATGTTGGGGGTTGGGTGAGTGGGTTAGTGGGTGGGTGGGTGGGGGGGGGGGCAGCTGGGCGGTTTGGTGAGTGGGTAAGTGGGTGGTTGGGTGGTTGGGTTAGTGGGTGGGTCGGGGGGCAGCTGGGCGGTTTGTTGAGTGGGTAAGTTGGGGGTTTGGAGGTGGGTGAGTGGGGCGGCTGGGCGGTTTGGTGAGTGGGTAAGTGGGTGGTTGGGTGAGTGGGTTAGTGGGTGGGTGGGGGGGGGGGCAGCTGGGCGGTTTGGTGAGTGGGTAAGTGGGTGGTTGAGTGAGTGGGTAAGTGGGGGATGAGTGAGTAGGTGAGGGGGGCGGCTGGGCGGATTGGTGAGTGGGTAAGTTGGGGGTTTGGGGGTGGGTGAGTGGGGCGGCTGGGCGGTTTGGTGAGTGGGTGAGTGGGTTAGTGGGTGGGTGAGGGGGGGGGGGGGGCAGCTGGGCGGTTTGGTGAGTGGGTAAGTAGGTGGTTGAGTGAGTGGGTAGGTGGGGGATGAGTGAGTAGGTGAGGGGGGCGGCTGGGCGGTTTGGTGAGTGGGTAAGTGGGTGGTTGAGTGAGTGGGTAAGTGTGGGAGTGAGTGAGTGGGTTAGTGGGTGGGTGAGGGGGCAGCTGGGCGGTTTGGTGAGTGGGTAAGTGGGGGGTGAGGGGGGGGCAGCTGGGTGGTTGAGTGAGTGGGTAAGTGCCTGGGTGGGTGAGGGGGTGGTTTGGCCTTTTGGTGAGTGGGTAAACGGGGGGGGGGGGGGGGGGGGGGGAGTGAGTGGGTAAGTGGGTTGGTGAGTGAGTGGATCAAACTTTGTAAAGGATAACGTTTGTCATATACCAATAAAAAGTAGTTTGAAAATTTATTAAAACTACGTACGTGAAAGTTACTTTTATCTGAGCTATGTGATATGTTCGGTGATCTGAAACACAATTCATAATATCTTATAAAACAGGAAAAAACAGAATTTCACGAATAAATAACACGAAAGTGTATGTAATACTGAAGGGTGTGATTATTTTTGTATACTTAATAATTGGAAAACATCTAGAAATTGAATGCGTTGAAACAGACAGAACATAAACTTACTCTGTACATTATATGTTGCCCTGTAAAAAGCCTTGGTCATGTTGCAGTTTTGTTGGCAGACACTGAAGAAATAATGCCATAGCCATTCATAAGGTTTTCACATTACAATCGTATAATGAGATAAAGAGCTGCCCAGTCAAGCGCTCTGACATAGACAATACTACCACTCTCTAATTTGGATATCTCGATTAATGTTAAAGAGAGAGGCTGTGACTGATTCTTCAGGGTGGCTTTTCAACTATACTTGTTAATATGTTATTAAAGCACCGCCTCTATGTTCATTGACACAAAAATAATCAAAATAATAATGCATCGGAGCATTATCTGTTAAATTGACATTGTCGTCACTAAACAATACATTTGGGGATTTAAGTAATTTAAGTCTAACTTCGAGAAACAATTAACACGCACACACACACACACACACACACACACACACACACACACACACACACACACACACATATATATATATACATATATATATATATATATATACTGCTATATGGCAGTATATTTTATTGTTAAACAATGACTGTAGCTGTTTTACATTGTTTCTGTTGAGATTCATTAGAAGTTCATTGCATTGGGGGGCGGTCGGGTAGCCTAGTGGTTAAAGCGTTCGCACGTCACGCCGAAGACCCGGGTTCGATTCCCGACATGGGTACAATGTGTGAAGCCCATTTCTGGTGTCCCCCGCCGTGATATTGCTGGAATACTGCTAAAAGCGGCGTAAAACCATACTCACTCACTCACTCACTCATTGCATTGGACATTGGTTAGTTGTCAGGAATGTTTGTTTGTTTGTTGTTTATAACACCAGCAATATTCCAGATATATGACGGCGGTCTGTAAATAATCGAGTCTGGACCAGACAATCCAGTGACTGACATCATGAGCATCGATCTACACAATTGGGATCGATGACATGTATCAACCAAGTCAGAGAGGCCTGACCACCCGATCCCGTTAGTCGCCTGCATACGACAAGAATGGGTTGCTGAAGACCTATTCTAACCCGGATCTTCACGGGTGCCTGGCCCAGACTCGATTATTTACAGACCGGATATAGCTTGAATTATGCTGAGTGCAGCGTTCAACAACATACAAAACCAATTTGTAGGATGCTGCTCACGAATAACGGTTTGATATTAATTTTGACATAACACATGTCACAAGCACATATAGTTTGTCAGACATATCAATGCCGGATAAGTATGTAATTAATCAATAAATGCTCACTCTATGCTTGTATAAATATATGAATACCAGTTAACAATGAGTAATGGAAAACGATCTAAAACTTACTATTTCACACTCAATTTGTCACTTGTAATGTCTTTCAATTCAGGTTGCAACGGCACAGATTGGTTCTTATTGCACTTTGTCGAGGAACATAAGTTCGCAACTGAAACAATCAACATGTTAAATGTTACACATATCGTCGACATCTATTAATAATATTTACAAGGTGTTAACAGATCTTGTGTCATCATACTGCGGTTTTAATGACATATTTACATGGAGCAGAAAGAAGCAAGAAAGTGACTTTGAGGTTGTAAAGATCAATTGCTTGTTCAGAAAATTATCTTTGAAGAGCCTAATATTTACCACCGTAACCTCTCAATGTGTTGGGTAGACTACAGAAAGCTTATAATTCTGTACCTCCCGAATGGGATTTTTGAGGACACCGGAATGTATTGAACTCCCTGAGTGGTTACTTGTTTTACTTAAACCTTTAATGAACTTGAGGTGCATTTGCAGGGGTAGGTGGTGACTTTGAAAACCCATCTCCATTAGAAGATTAATATCTAACAATTTTTTTTAGTACTTTGCTTTTCTGTTTGTCACTAAAGGATTAAAGTTTTTTGGATTTTTTAATCTCCGTGGATGGTCAGGGCTATACGAACTTGACAAACCCCAGAATGCCCATATCAGGGGAAAACTTAGGGCAGAGTACAAATGAAGACTTAAGAAAATCTGGAGTTCAGAGTTCGCAATAAAGTCAAAGTCACAAATGTTAATGCTGCACCCGTACTTTCGTATTCTTTTTGTGTTGTTGATTGGACGAAAACAAGAAGTTCAGGGTATTGACACCCCCCCACGAAAAATCATATCGACAAGATATCCAACCACATTCGCTCTTCCCTCAATCGCTTGTATAAACCAATCGTAATGGGAGGGCATGGTTTGATTAAAGTGTAGGCTCTTTATAATAGAATTGTATTGTGCACATTTGCGCACAGTTATTTGTCTTTTCTTAAACAAACCAAGGATGTGGGACATAATCTCAATGGTAATGTTGATTTTGTTAATGGTTCTGTACTGCTGGACGGTACAGAAATGAGTGTCAACCAAGCGAAATCAGCCCAGGCTCAGTTTTTAAAGGTGGGGGGGGTATGCATCGAGTTTATATGCAGTGTGTTGTGATGAACAGCAACCTTGCAGAGTCCTTCTCTTGGATAAAATCACAAACACAAAGCTTTCTGTCTGCTGCTCAGGACCAGTCACTTCCCTCTCGAAACCGTCAATGTGTGATTTTGCATCAAAATGTAAATATTAAATGTAGATTATGCAATGAATTTAATGAGACTGTCCAACACATTGTCAGTGTATGTCCAGCGTTGGCACAAACGAGGTCTCTTAGCACATGGTGGAATGACTCGATCCTATAATTACCATCTCACTGGTCACCTTTATTTGGTTTGTAAATCGGTTGAAGGGAAAATGGCTATTTGGTGGTTATTGAACAATATCAGATAACCTACATACCTTAAGCTTAAGTTAAACTTCTGGGCCAGATTACCCTGTTTTGATATTGTCAATCCGAGTTGAAGCTCCAATTTATGTGCATAAGACACATATCAACAAGAATGTCTACTTCTTGCATAAATGACACACACCCAAATTTTGAATAGATGTTATCAATGACGAAGTCCAACATTTTGGCTAAAGGTAGAATTCAAAGAACGTTTCTGACTATACCATTAGCTTGTGTTTATGGATCACTGTCAAATAGTTAGGTGTTAGCCAGCAAGAGGTACATATTTATGTTAAGGCAAATGAATCTGTAATGACATTTGTGCCTCATGGAACTAAGAACAGTTAATGTCATAGATCGATATCCACATATTCAAGGATATCGATTTTGCCCTTTTACCGTAGAAATAGGATTTCTTACTGGTTGTTTCTGCCAAGATGGTAACATTCACGTGGATGATTTTGACCTTCCCAGATCCTTCCATCGTTCTGAGGAGGAGAGCAATGAAGTACAATTACACACAGAAAGTCATCTTTTGTTTATTGTTATTTTATGAAAAATACTAATAATAAGGAGCGGTGTGCCATCATCGGTTGCGTTTGAATGCCTTGTCCCGATTTTCTGACCAAAAACCGAAATATTGTGACCTGTTTCTGTGACAGTGTTTTTATAGCCGCAATTGAAGGACTATATGCTCAACTGCATGAACACATTTGGAGTCGCTGTGAATATACGGGTAAGAACATTGCTCGTCTACACATGCTTGCTGTAAGAGGCAACAAACGGGATCATGCTCGTTGACTTGTTAGATGCATGTCATCGTATCCTACTTGCATAGACCGATGCTCATGATATCAATCGCTTGATTGTCCATTGATGATGTTACTCACTGGGTTGTCTTGGCCAGATTCGATTATTTATTGACGATAGTTGAGTGCGGCGTTAAACAACAAACAAACGTTATGCACGTGAAATATGTTCGATGGGCCTAAAGTAATTACACTTAGACCGTTGACAGGGGCGGATACAACTTTTGTGGGAGAGAGGGGTGCGGATTTGATAATATTTCAATCCCCATTTTCTTTTCATAGCTTCTACGCCAAGACCTGTTCGCATTAAGACAACCGCTTTAGGGGCGGATACACCTTTTCACTGAAACTGAACTGGTTCGAATGATGGTACGCGACTCAAGCTTATCGCGATTTAGTTCAGGTAGACAGGAGCTCAGCCTACACTGACACAAGGAGATAATGCATTCTGAGTGCACATGAACTCGCTATAAGTTAGTAGTGATATAGGTCCCAGGTACAGTATGAGAGACGTCTCTGCACTTACACTTCCCCGGGATCGTAAAAACACAACCGATAACAACTCCCTGTGCTGAAGAACGCAATAAATGGATACTGTGATGCCACAGAGAACCAGCACATTGACATCATTTTTAGATATCATTTCCAAATTTGATGCCTGAATAAAGTAGTTTTCAAAAGTATCTGGTCAAATCCTTGGAAACAAACTGATACAACTTGGTGAATGCATGAGAAAGGAAATTATTTACACGGGTAATCTATATTATAAATGTTTGGTGAACAACAATTAATACAATAAACCAAAAGAGACGAAAATATAGACCTGCATGACTAGATTTATTATAATCACATTACTGTTTCAAGTGCCATGATTAACTAAACCTAGGTATACGTGGTGGGCATATGATAACTTTTTGGCATTATTAATGTGACACTTTAGAACAATGTCGGTCGGAATTGGTGCCAATTATATGGCAAAGGTCCTTTGTACGTAGGAATACACGCCTAACCTATTTCTTTCATTTTTTATTGTGGCTTGGTTCAGTCTGGCTTCATGGTATCGAAATAGAGGAATAATGAAACCAGCCACACCTGGCTGCACTCACGAGTGCACTGTTCTCATAATGCTTGTTGTTTAACGACGCACTCAGCAATATTCCAGCTATATGACGGCGGTCTGTAAATAATCGAGTCTTGATCCGACAATCCAGTGAACGATATCATAATCATCAATCTAGGCAATTTGGATACAATGTCATGCATCAACCAAGTCTGCGAGCCTTACCACCCAATCCCGTTTGTCGCCTGTAACTCTCAAAATGTGGACGCTCATCTAAAAGTTTCATGAGGTGACAGTTTTAGAAGACTGCCTGTGCCCATATAAGATCTAAACAAGGGCCTTTTGCGACCTGACTAGCGTCTTATCTACTTGTCCAGTGCGGACGGGAAACCTATTAGAAATTACCGATATCCTGCCAGCTTTCAACACTATTTCAGATTCAAGAATGGAGAACGTGCAACACTATTCCATATTCAAGAATGGAGAACGTGCAACATTATTCCAGATTCAAGAATGGAGAACGTGCAACATCGTTCCAAATTTAAGAATGGAGAAAATGCAACATCAGTCCAGATTCAAGAATGGAGAACGTGCAACATTATTCCAAATTCAAGAATGGAGAACGTGCAACATTATTCAAGATTCAAGAATGGAGAACGTGCAAAATCAGTCCAGATTCAAGAATGGAGAACTTGCAACATCAGTCCAGATTCAAGAATGGAGAACGTGCAACATTATTCAAGATTCAAGAATGGAGGACGTGCAACATTATTCCAGATTTAAGAATAGAGAACGTGCAACATCAGTCCAGATTCAAAAATGGAGAACGTGCAACATTATTCCAGATTCAAAAATGGAGAACGTGCAACATCAGTCCAGATTCAAGAATGGAGAACGTGCAACATCGGTCCAGATTCAAGAATGGAGAACGTGCAAAATCAGTCCAGATTCAAGAATGGAGAACGTGCAACATCAGTCCAGATTCAAGAATGGAGAACGTGCAACATTATTCCAGATTCAAGAATGGAGAACGTGCAACATTATTCCAGATTTAAGAATAGAGAACGTGCAACATCAGTCCAGATTCAAAAATGGGGAACGTGCAACATTATTCCAGATTCAAAAATGGAGAACGTGCAACATCAGTCCAGATTCAAGAATGGAGAACGTGCAACATTATTCCAGATTCAAAAATGAAGAACGTGCAACATTATTCCAGATTCAAGAATGGAGAACGTGCAACATCGTTCCAAATTCAAGAATGGAGAACGTGCAACATCAGTCCAGATTCAAGAATGGAGAACGTGCAACATTATTCCAGATTCAAGAATGGAGAACGTGCAACATTATTCTTGATTCAAGAATGGAGAACGTGCAACATCAGTCCAGATTCAAGAATGGAGAACGTGCAACATCAGTGCAGATTCAAGAATGGAGAACGTGCAACATTGTTCCAGATTCAAGAATGGAGGACGTGCAACATTATTCCAGATTCAAGAATGGAGAACGTGCAACATACTCCAGATTCAAGAATGGAGAACGTGCAACATCAGTCCAGATTCAAGAATGGAGAACGTGCAACATTATTCAAGATTCAAGAATGGAGAACGTGCAACATTATTCAAGATTCAAGAATGGAGAACGTGCAACATACTCCAGATTCAAGAATGGAGAACGTGCAACATCAGTCCAGATTCAAGAATGGAGAACGTGCAACATTATTCCAGATTCAAGAATGGAGAAGGTGCAACATCAGTCCAGATTCAAGAATGGAGAAGGTGCAACATCAGTCCAGATTAAAAAATGGAGAATGTGCAACATCAGTCCAGATTCAAGAATGGAGAACGTGCAACATCAGTCAGATTCAAGAATGGAGAACGTGCAACATCAGTCCAGATTCAAGAATGGAGAACGTGCAACATCAGTCAGATTCAAGAATGGAGAACGTGCAACATTATTCCAGATTCAAGAATGGAGAACGTGCAACATTATTCCAGATTCAAGAATGGAGAACGTGCAACATCAGTCCAGATTCAAAAATGGAGAACGTGCAACATTATTCCAGATTCAAAAATGGAGAACGTGCAACATCAGTCCAGATTCAAGAATGGAGAACGTGCAACATCAGTCCAGATTCAAGAATGGAGAACGTGCAAAATCAGTCCAGATTTAAGAATGGAGAACGTGCAACATCAGTCCAGATTCAAGAATGGAGAACGTGCAACATTATTCCAGATTCAAGAATGGAGAACGTGCAACATTATTCCAGATTTAAGAATAGAGAACGTGCAACATCAGTCCAGATTCAAAAATGGGGAACGTGCAACATTATTCCAGATTCAAGAATGGAGAACGTGCAACATCAGTCCAGATTCAAGAATGGAGAACGTGCAACATTATTCCAGATTCAAAAATGAAATACGTGCAACATTATTCCAGATTCAAGAATGGAGAACTTGCAACATCGTTCCAAATTCAAGAACGGAGAACGTGCAACATTATTCCAGATTCAAGAATGGAGAACGTGCAACATTATTCCAGATTCAAGAATGGAGAACGTGCAACATTATTCTTGATTCAAGAATGGAGAACGTGCAACATCAGTCCAGATTCAAGAATGGAGAACGTGCAACATCAGTCCAGATTCAAGAATGGAGAACGTGCAACATTGTTCCAGATTCAAGAATGGAGAACGTGCAACATTATTCCAGATTCAAGAATGGAGAACGTGCAACATACTCCAGATTCAAGAATGGAGAACGTGCAACATCAGTCCAGATTCAAGAATGGAGAACGTGCAACATTATTCAAGATTCAAGAATGGAGAACGTGCAACATTATTCAAGATTCAAGAATGGAGAACATGCAACATACTCCAGATTTAAGAATGGAGAACGTGCAACATCAGTCCAGATTCAAGAATGGAGAACGTGCAACATTATTCCAGATTCAAGAATAGAGAACGTGCAACATTATTACAGATTTAAGAATAGAGAACGTGCAACATCAGTCCAGATTCAAAAATGGAGAACGTGCAACATTATTCCAGATTCAAAAATGGAGAACGTGCAACATCAGTCCAGATTCAAGAATGGAGAACGTGCAACATCAGTCCAGATTCAAGAATGGAGAACGTGCAACATACTCCAGATTCAAGAATGGAGAAGGTGCAACATCAGTCCAGATTCAAGAATGGAGAACGTGCAACATTATTCCAGATTCAAGAATGGAGAACGTGCAACATTATTCCAGATTTAAGAATAGAGAACGTGCAACATCAGTCCAGATTCAAAAATGGGGAACGTGCAACATTATTCCAGATTCAAGAATGGAGAACGTGCAACATCAGTCCAGATTCAAGAATGGAGAATGTGCAACATTATTCCAGATTCAAAAATGAAGAACGTGCAACATTATTCCAGATTCAAGAATGGAGAATGTGCAACATCAGTCCAGATTCAAAAATGGAGAACGTGCAACATTATTCCAGATTCAAAAATGGAGAACGTGCAAAATCAGTCGAGATTTAAGAATGGAGAACGTGCAACATCAGTCCAGATTCAAGAATGGAGAACGTGCAACATTATTCCAGATTCAAGAATGGAGAACGTGCAACATTATTCCAGATTTAAGAATAGAGAACGTGCAACATCAGTCCAGATTCAAAAATGGGGAACGTGCAACATTATTCCAGATTCAAGAATGGAGAACGTGCAACATCAGTCCAGATTCAAGAATGGAGAACGTGCAACATTATTCCAGATTCAAAAATGAAGAACGTGCAACATTATTCCAGATTCAAGAATGGAGAACGTGCAACATCGTTCCAAATTCAAGAATGGAGAACGTGCAACATTATTCCAGATTCAAGAATGGAGAACGTGCAACATTATTCCAGATTCAAGAATGGAGAACGTGCAACATTATTCTTGATTCAAGAATGGAGAACGTGCAAGATCAGTCCAGATTCAAGAATGGAGAACGTGCAACATCAGTCCAGATTCAAGAATGGAGAACGTGCAACATTGTTCCAGATTCAAGAATGGAGAACGTGCAACATTATTCCAGATTCAAGAATGGAGAACGTGCAACATACTCCAGATTCAAGAATGGAGAACGTGCAACATCAGTCCAGATTCAAAAATGGAGAACGTGCAACATTATTCAAGATTCAAGAATGGAGAACGTGCAACATTATTCAAGATTCAAGAATGGAGAACGTGCAACATACTCCAGATTCAAGAATGGAGAACGTGCAACATCAGTCCAGATTCAAGAATGGAGAACGTGCAACATTATTCCAGATTCAAGAATGGAGAACGTGCAACATTATTCCAGATTCAAGAATGGAGAACGTGCAACATCAGTCCAGATTCAAGAATGGAGAAGGTGCAACATCAGTCCAGATTAAAAAATGGAGAATGTGCAACATCAGTCCAGATTCAAGAATGGAGAACGTGCAGCATCAGTCAGATTCAAGAATGGAGAACGTGCAACATCAGTCCAGATTCAAGAATGGAGAACGTGCAACATCAGTCAGATTCAAGAATGGAGAATGTGCAACATTATTCCAGATTCAAGAATGGAGAACGTGCAATATCAGTCCAGATTCAAGAATGGAGAACGTGCAATATCAGTCCAGATTCAAGAATGGAGAACGTGCAACATCAGTCAGATTTAAAAATGGAGAATGTGCAACATTATTCCAGATTCAAGAATGGAGAACGTGCAACATCAGTCAGATTCAAGAATGGAGAACGTGCAACATTATTCCAGATTCAAGAATGGAGAACGTGCAATATCAGTCCAGATTCAAGAATGGAGAACGTGCAACATCAGTGCAGATTCAAGAATGGAGAACGTGCAACACTATTCCAGATTCAAGAACAGAGAACGTGTCCAAGTAAAGACACTCGCCAGTGACTTAATTCTTGTCATTCGTGAGTTCATTTTCATTACAGGGCTTGGTACCACATAGGGCTTATGTGACCCAATATTGCCTTTTTGTGGCTGTAACGCTAAATCTGTGCATTTCAGTGTAATGTGTTAATCATGCATTGATCTTGTGAGGTTGTTTATGTATGTCAGAATTCAGTCCTGTACGAATGTATATCTGGTTTAATAGTCGCGTTTACATTTCGCAACATAAGTAGTCAGTGTCTTATTGATAATTACCAAGACATAGATCAAGCCTACAGGAAACATAAACATACCCGTAAATGTGAATCGTATATCCATCGGCATCGATGTCTCTTTCCCTGAAAGACGCAAGATCGATGTAAAACTATTTTGACCTGCTTGGATGACCAAAACTGTTGAATTTAAAACTATCTATAAGATAGCATTAAAGAAAATGATAAAGATATAGGTAATCGTGCATTTCTGGAGCTAAATATAAACAGTTGTGTTTCCATCTATGTATCACTTAATGACTTAATGTACGTTTCTACTGAAACCCTTGATGAACAAGTTCTTCGTTACTAGATTCCTGCTACTTAGGCCAGCCTTTAACCCACTGTGTCACAAACGTGTCTTACAGTGTAATCATATATTGAGAAAGGGCATAAGTCATAGAGCACAATACTGGAACATTCCATCTGAAGTCGGATACAAAAAGCAATTTTATATGTTTTAAAACAAACCTATAGGAACAAAAAACATAATTGTGAAAACAATGACATCCCGGGAGACATTTTTTTGTCAAGCAAATCGTACAGATGGTGATTATGTCGAGATTTTCTGAAATGCCCCCTTACCCTGCCAGCCACACTACACTAAAGGCTAAACACCTGCATCAGAGCACCATGTACTTACCAGCTCGTCCCCTGTGACCCGACCGAACAGGTTGTGGCAATACAGGTGACAAGGTAGAGGTACGCTGTAAATGGAGATATGCCTCTATGTATGACATACAAACAGACTGCATCTATCACCTGGTCTTACCCTGCATACTTTATGCAGACTGGGCACTCTGTACAGTTTGTTTATACAATGTGTAACGTAAGCTTTGTACAGCTTTAACGAAGATGTGCTGAAATGATTACTGTATATATGTTTCGAATTTCCTTGACTTTACATGTGTTTGTGACGGGTGAACCCGGTGGGGCATGATCCGCTCACCTTTTCGCGAACACCTGGTATCATTACTGTTTGATAGTGAATCATAAACACATGCTCATGACATAGTCGGAATCGTACAATCGACTCTGCTTTACCAGAGATTTCTATTGGATATGGAAAGGGTTTTGTCGCTATTTATATATATATATGTATGTATGTATGTATGTATGTATGTATGTATGTATGTATGTATGTATGTATGTATGTATGTATGTATGTATGTATGTATATATGTATATATATATATAAGCTTTATATACGTAATGTTGACAAAAATATATTTTCCAAGCTCTCCACAGTATCTCCTTCACTGTAACATCTAAAAGTAACATTTAATATTACTTTCTGGTTATCAAGAACATCAACGGAGAGCTTACTGATTGTATGCAGACGAGCTGAAACAACTCCCAAATTCAAATCCTTTGGCTAAATCCACCAATTACCCACTTATCATGAAGTTAAAAATATTTGAAATGTTCAGTACCTGTAAATGTGTACACCATGTCCATTGGCCTTTATGTTTGGTGTACTGAAACGAAAGGTTCGCAAGTATTATATGAAACTGACATGCTCCAGTTCGTTGATAATAGACATGTGCAACAGTCACTGTGTTGAAACATTGAGGAGTGTGGGTGGGTATATTGTTTCACTGACGTGTCTCGCGGCAATTGGTGTATTTAGTAAACAACTTGTGTGTGGTGTGTCTTCCTTGAATTAAGCTCTTTTTCTATAATCTACTAAATAAAACTTCTTGACATTAATACAAATTCTATCAATTAAAATACCAATATAAAGGTCTCTTATAAGAAAAGAAGACGTTGAGATATGTATACCTCATATTAGGGCATGAGTTAGGCATGTGTTAAGGTTGACTCGTAACCAAAGACATGGGTACACTGCGTGAACAAAAATCATAAAGCCACACACATACATACAATGTCTCATGATTGATATCCTGGTACAAATTGTTTGTATCTTGTCAATATGCGGTGGGACTTCCGTATGAGACGTAACATTGACCTAGAAAATTACGGTTAACTTAACATAGGTGAAGACCCTTGTGTGATTGGTTTTCAGGAAAGAAGAACTTACCTCGAATAAGTTTTGCACAGTATGAAGGACAAGCCTGCGTAACAGCCACCTTCCTACAATCCTCCACCCTGCTCACGTCCCACCAGGAAGTATATTCTGACTGTATTTCTAGCTCACAGGGCAATACAGCGCTCTGATAACCATGAATAGAGTTGGTTTAAGGTTCGTGTGTTTATGTTGAAAGGCGTGTCACGAAGCAGATATGATATAGCTTTGTGACATTTTGATTTAATTGTCGGACGTATTAGTGTTGTGTATATGGGTTTGACAAAAAAATCATGATAAGATAAAGATAAGGTAAGACCTGAACCGGAAGAAACACGACATTCATATATTCTCTTCCTTGTGTGTATCGCTACTAAATGCCTTTCAAAGACTTGATGCGACATCAACATGAAGTTGATGCAGTAACGTCCATCAACAAGTACAAGAAGACCATCAGCAAAAGTGTTACGTTCAACAACCACCTGACTTCCTCCCACACGACCCAGTCTCTAGCCCAGACCAGCCGACACCAGCTGAACGAGAAAATCAAGACATCTCACATCAACAACCTCGCTCAACTACAACGCCCACTCCAACACCATGTCGCAGAAGCCAGCCCCAGAACCACCAACAAGACTGTAATTTTGTTGTCCTTACATGTACATATATTATACTCTCTGCCTCATGGCATTCATTCACCCGATGAAGGAGAAAGCATATACTCCGAAAAGTTGTGTTCCTCATAATAAAGAAGTTGACATCCATATATTCTCTTCCTTATGTGTATTACTAGGTTGTTGGTGTTGTGATCAGCACACCGGGGTTTGGTGACACCAGTCATCCAAGCCCAGATTAGTTGCCTCTCACAACAAGCTGGAAACTTATTCTACACAGGGTCCTCTGCATGGAGTATTTCAACAATGCGACTGAGACTCCATTACGAGTGACACCGTAATTTTAGTGCTCATAGCCCAGCGGTGGGCGGTCGGATTTTCCATCGTGACGTAATGATCCTTCTGTGGTAGTGGTTGTCATTCGTCAGCACTCGCCCCTGTTCGTAACCTGCAAGATTGATTCGGCTTGTCCCGGAATAATACGAGTTGATCATGAATGAGTGGTTGTGTGTCGTGGGTTGATATTGACAGGTGACTAGAGTGTTGTTGATGGGTGGGCGGGGTGCTCGGTTTGAGGGCTATGTGTGGACCACAGTGTTGATGATTGGTGGGTGGAGTATTCCGTGTTGGGGTCATGTGTTTGATTGGAGTGTTGTTGAGGATGGTGGGGTGTTCGGGGTGGGGGCCATGTATTGACTGTAGTGTTGTGATGGATGGTGGGGTGTTCGGGGTGGAGATGTGTTTGACTGGAGTGTTGTTGATGGGTGGGTGGGGTGTACAGGGTGGGGTGTTCGGGGTGGGGGCCATGTGTTTGACTGGAGTGTTGGTTCTAGTTGTAAAAACTCAAAAATCAAGTAGGGAAAAATGGTTCTTAACTCACAACCGTTACAAATCGTCACTTCGTATAAATGTCAGGGGTTGCTTATACAAACAAATTATAGTGAAATTGCCACAGCAGTAATGTAGCAATGGGTATCTTACATAGTTTAAAAACCTTCACTGATCTTTCATGTAAAACCTTTTTCGTCAATATTTGAAACGAAAGTATTGGTTCAAGGTTTCTGAAAGGCCTATTGATACTTTAGCAAGACAATACTCTAATATTATGTTATTGTATGACAAACATTGACTTCAATAGTTGTTATTAAATGAATGGATATAGATATGTTTGGCATAATCAATGTGTACCCACCCCAAAGATTGTATATATAACCCTGTTTGCGCTGTCGACAATTAAATAATTTCATTACAATATGTAGTATATTGCTTGGAACACAGTTTTCATAATAACGTCAATATAGCTTTAAATAAACGTCGAGGGTATACAAATACAGGACACCGTAACACTATATGTGTAATGTGATATAAGGTAAAATACTTTGGATTTGTGTGTGTCATCCTGTTTATGCCCCACCGCGTTCAGTATTGAGGAAACCTTTGCATTTTTGTAACCCTGATCACACAACATCTGAGTAAAAGTCCAGTGATGCTCATTGAAATATCCTCGCACCCTTAATATACCCTCAGATAAAAAACTGGTAATTACATTATACGAATCCCTCTCTGTAAGGTAGTGTCAACCAGGAACACTTGTTTACACGCAACAAAGGATCCGTGTTATTGATAGCATCCCCTTGTAACTGAAACTGTATGCCTCAAGGAACATTGCAACACAGAGGAAGTTTCCTGTACTCATGATAACGTCAGGGACAGGAGGAAAGCCGACGGTAGGTGATATCTCTGTCAGACCCGCCCTTCACGATATACTAGTATCAGTGTAGGGTAATAAATACCTTCGGCTATGCGTTGCTTTATTCAAAGACATGGCTAAGAAATATGTATGGAAGTCAAATGTCTTTATGGCTATGTTACATATTTCTATCATATCAACACATCCGCATTCCATTCATCGTCATGATATATCTTGAACAAGTACGACCGAAGACAAGCGCGTTCCCATCCTCGTACCTGAGTGACATCCCCGGGGTAGGGGTGATGCGTTTATCAACATAGGGCGGGTTATGGACGTCCCCGGGATAGTGGTGATGCGTTTATCCACATAGGGCGGGTTATGGACGTCCCCGGGATAGTGGTGATGCGTGTATCCACATAGGGTGGGTTATGGACATCCCAGGGATAGTGGTGATGCGTCCATCACCACAGGGCGGGTTGTGGATATCCCCGGGGTAGTAGTGATGCGTGTATCCACATAGGGTGGGTTATGGACATCCCCGGGGTAGTGGTGATGCGTGCATGAACACAGGGCGGGTTATGGACATCCCCGGGGTAGTGGTGATGCGTGTATCCACATAGGGTGGGTTATGGACATCCCCGGGGTAGTGGTGATGCGTGCATGAACACAGGGCGGGTTATGGACATCCCCGGGGTAGTGGTGATGCGTGTATCCACATAGGGTGGGTTATGGACATCCCCGAGGTAGTGGTGATGCGTCCATCAACACAGGGCGGGTTGTGGACATCCCCGGGGTAGTGGTGGTGCGTGTATCCACATAGAGCGGGTTGTGGACATCCCCGGGGTAGTGGTGATGCGTGTATCCACATTGGGCGGGTTATGGACGTCCCCGGGGTAGTGGTGATGCGTGTTTCCACATTGGGCGGGTTATGGACGTCCCCGGGGTAGTGGTGGTGCGTGTATCCACATAGGGCGGGTTATGGACATCCCCGGGATAGTGGTGATGCGTGTATCCACATAGGGCGAGTTATGGACATCCCCGGGTAGTGGTGATGCGTGTATCCACATAGGGTGGGTTATGGACATCCCCGGGGTAGTGGTGATGCGTGTATCCACATAGGGCGGGTTATGGACATCCCCGGGTAGTAGTGATGGGTGTATCCACATAGGGTGGGTTATGGACATCCCCGGGGTAGTGGTGATGCGTGTATCCACATAGGGCGGGTTGTGGACATCACCGGGGTAGTGGTGATGCGTGTTTCCACATAGGGTGGGTTATGGACATCCCCGGGGTAGTGGTGATGCGTGCATGAACACAGGGCGGGTTATGGACATCCCCGGGGTAGTGGTGATGCGTGTATCCACATAGGACGGGTTATGGACGTCCTCGGGGTAGTGGTGATGCGTGTATCCACATAGGGCGGGTTATGGACATCCCCGGGGTAGTGGTGATGCGTGTATCCACATAGGACGGGTTATGGACGTCCTCGGGGTAGTGGTGATGCGTGTATCCACACAGGGCGGGTTATGGACATCCCCGGGGTAGTGGTGATGCGTGTATCCACATAGGACGGGTTATGGACATCCCCGGGGTAGTGGTGATGCGTGTATCCACATAGGACGGGTTATGGACATCGTGATCCAGTTCTGTCAGGAGATGCCCTCTTTATTAAATCTTATCAGACTGAAACTAACATGGGAGGTTTATTCATTGTTAATTGTACAGTAAACTACGTTTATAACGAACATGCTTGTAACGAACTGACTGATATAACAAACCTATTTTCTGGTCCCGGGAAGTTGTTGTACATATGCAGTTTATATGCTTATAATGAACTACGGTTATTACGAACTAAAATTACTGGTCCCTTTTAGTTCGTTACAACCGTAGTTTACTGTATAAGTATGGCATGTCACTTCCAACAGCAGTATCTCGACACGACGTTTTCAGTTCCACATTATTGAAAACTATTCAACCCATGTGTCATGTGTTGACATGTTTTCACCTTCATAACACACCTTCTGACCCTGTGTTACAGTGATACGATTTTACCTTACAATAAACGAGTAACTGAAACATTATATTCAGATACGATGCAGTGATGTGTTCAGTATATTCTGTCATTACATATCACACTATGAATTATATTACGCATTTTCACCAAGTCTATATTGACATGATTATAATTGTGTAAATCAATAAAATAGAAGAGACAAAACCCGTCCCATATTCATAAGAAACATCTGCCATAAACAAAGTCGATTGTACGATTCCGACTATATCATGAGCATGTGTTTTTTAATCACTATCAAATGACACGAGGTGTTTTCGAAAAATGTTGGGGTATCCTGCCCCACCGGTGGCACTCGTCATAAACACATGCAAAGGCAAGGCGATTTTTCACCCGAAAAAAACCCGGGAACATGTGGGACAAGTCAAAATAGGGAATTGCATCGGACACCGTTCTTGTCACTGATGCGTCAAATTTGGAAATGTCCTCCACATGTCTACCATAAAACCTTTGAAAGCTTTACTGTGGCCTTGAATGTTGTAACCTTGATCATACAGCTTCTAAGCAAAATCGTATGAAGCTCTTTGAAATCTTGGAGGAAAGAGCATGCTCGATTGTTCCTCTAAAGTTGTGAAATGTAGACACCAAGGGCTTGAGCTGCAGGAAAATTGTTTGACATAAAAGGAAAGTTGACTATTGCAAAGTCATCGCTATTGTCTTGTGTTGAGTGTTTCGTCAATCTTTTGCATAGATCAAAATATGAAACAGATGAATCTATCTCAATGGTCTCTTTTATTTCTAGTTCAGGTGGGTAAATCAGTGGG